TGGGTCGGAACTGATTCGATGGCACTTCACAACAACAACAACAACGGATGCTCTAGCAAATTCATCACCATTTAGCTCGATCCACACTCCAGGGGCGTCTGGGTGGGGAAAGAGTCATCCCTCCACAACCTTTAGCAGTGGCAGCTGGCGTCAGTCTGGAGCCTAGGTGGGACTCCCGGCTGGGCCTCAAGCTGTGGGCCCTTGGGACTCACCTTTTAGGCCCAGTGAGTGCAGGTGGTACGCACATGTAGATGACTGATGGATGGGTGTAGTGTATCCATGTAATATACGTTGTTGTTGTTGTTGTCTGCCATCGAGTCGGCTCCGGCCCATAGCACAGAACGAAACACCGCCCGGTACTGCGCAATCCTCAAGATTGTTAAATATACAAGAGGATTTCAAATAACTCTCTTTTCCTACCAACTTTTTGAAGCTTCCTCGTATGTATGTGGCATGGTCTATACATCCTTGTATGACATGTAGAAGGTGTGCAGTGTAAGGTACAGCTCTAAGACATAACTGAACTACCAGCTTCTAGAGCTCCCAAGTCCTCAGGACTGTACAACATTGCCATCCTTAGCCTTTGCCAGGACAATCACTATCACCTGTGCCGGAGTATGCGCGTACAAGACTACGCCTTAGTCCTCCTCTCCAATAGAAATCCCGCCTTTGCCACGCCCCCGACGCACTTTACGGCCCAGTACGCCACTTTTGCTGCAGTCGTAGCCGCCACCGCCGCCGCTGTTCCTGCTGCCGCGGCTCCTGCCGGTCAGGTGAGGTGAGGTGTGTTGTTGGGCTGGTGCCGCCACCGCCACCGCCACCGCCGCCCGCACAGAACAGGGCCGCCTCGGGCCGGCGGGGGTGGCAGGTTAGCCGCTGCTTTGTCTTCTCAGCTCCGGTTCCGTCTGCGTTGCCGCAGGGAGGCCGCCCCGGCCCGGCGAGCCGAACCAATGCTGGATCTGGAGGTGGTGCCCGAGCGCTCTTTGGGGAATGAGCAATGGGAATTCACGCTGGGTGAGTATGGGGTCCTTTGTACCTCCGGACTCTTCCTATGTCTCTTTTTGTCTGGTATGCCCCTGTGCCTTGTCTTGTCCGTCCGCTCGACTCTTTGGGCTCCAGGCGCCAGGTACCGACTCCGACCAGCCTGACGCCTTCGCCTCGGGCCTCAGCAGAGCTGCTCCCTGGGCGCTGGGAGTGTAGTAAGAAGAAGAACTGCAGACACGCCCCGAGCTTTGGTGCCAGGCTATGCTCTGTAGAGCGTAATTATCTCAAGTAATCCTGGAGGGTCGGTCCTCTGGTCATTTTTATTTCTACCCACAGATTAAATAAAAGCGAAGTGATCTGCCTCCTGCTTCTCTGGTTGTCCCTTTTCAGAAACCTAGGCTTGGAGCCCCTAATCAGCCAGTGGGGATCTGACAAGGGAGTGAAGGAATTTGTAGTCAAGGAACGTCTGACTTCTTTCCTCTTTTGAGACTTCAGCTGTGAGAGTTCAAAGTTGAATGAAATAGGCATTTGAGGAAAGAAACGTACCTAGTCTGTAGAAAATGCAGTTGCGATTGTCTTTTTCTTTTGGTTTGTTGACCCAACTCTTTTTTTGCCTTTACTCCTTCCTCCCCAGCCCGCACATCACTACCCCCTGCGTACAAGGATGGAAGTGCTCAGTAACCAGTGTGTGTTTACTTTGATGTTCTGGCCCTGGCAACAAGGGGTGGGGAGCAGGTGTTGGTGCCTGTGTTTGTTCGAGTCTGCACATCTGTCTCACCACAGCTGGACAGTCGGCTAGCGTTGGGCTGCGTGGCTGATACATAAATCTAGAAGGCCTGTACTTATGGAGACAGTGCAGATTGCTGGTAGGGCCCTGCTGTTGCCCGGTGACTCCCGGAATCAAACTGTCTGCCTCCTGTGGGTGGTGGTGGTCATGTGCTATTGAGGAACCCTGTATAGAGTTTCCAAGAACTGCTGGTGGGTTAGAATGACCAGCCTTGTTGTTAGCAGTCCAGTGCTAATCCTAACACCACATCAGGGCCCACTGTGGGATGTAGGATGTAGTTTTCGTTGGGGGATCTTAGTCAACTTCTCTCATAATTTAAGCCACTCCTACAGAGTTTTCCCCAAAATTGGAGCTATTATGAGATGATCCAAGGTGCCCTAGTGGCACTGTGGATTAGGCATTGGGCTGTTAACTGCAAGGTTGGCAGTTCAAACCCACCATCCTCTCCATGGGAAATATATGAGGTTGTCAGTTCCTATAAAGGTTTACAGTCTCAGAAACCCTATGTAGGGTCTCTGAATAGGTTGGGTTTGGTGAGGAGATATTTCAGCCTCTTGTGAAGTACCTAGAACTTGGGTGGGGAGTTGGTGATATCTTTGCCTCCAGCCCCTGATGCTATTTGTTGCTACTGTTAATGGTTAATAGAAAATGGTGGGTTTGAACCCCTGGCCTTGTGCTTGACTGTCCAGTTCTTATAATACAATGCACACCAGGACTTCTAGTTAACTTTTTTCCTCCCCTCCCCTTGAAGGCTTCTGCCCATCATTGGACCTCACAGGGCAAGAACCACAGTCATAACCTCAAACTGTGCTTTGACTGGTTTGTGAGTTTCATTGTGCTCCATATATTCAGAATTCCTTAGCCAAAAATAGTGACTAGGATGTCCAGAAAACTGGATAGGAGAACAGTGTTTTCTGGAAACTGTCATGTTGAGGCCTTAACTCCCTCTCCTGACTATCCATTACCAGAAATCAAGGGTTTGGGGAGTTCTAGCAAACAAAACAGTGAAAGAAGTGTTTCTGTAGATTGGACCCAGAATTGAAGTTTGAGGGACAGTTCATAGAGATACCTGAGTCTTGAGGATTCTCTTAAGTATTTTTGGTTTTTTTTTAAGCTTTTATTGTGAATTGAGATCGATTACATGGGAGAACATCAGTTTTGCACTTTTCCTATTGTGTTTTGTTTCATTTCAATTACAATCCCCTCCATGCATCATCATTCAACAGTATTTGCTTCTATTCCCTCTGTTTTTGTTTTTTGATATGCACAAAAACACTTGGGATATAATTATTTAAACACCACCAAACAGCCAAAGGACACATTCTACAAGCCTGCTTCCTGGCCACCAGCACTTAGCCTTTCTCTTTCCATGAGTCTAGAGTCCTCAGCTGCTCTCTCTATGCCATCACCTCTGCCTCTATCTCTGGTGTTGCTGCTTCTCTGGTTAGGGTCCCGTGTTCCTGCTCATGTGCTTCTCCTTTGATGTCCTAGCGTCCTTTGTTCCTGGAATGTGAGAATAACTACACCCCCTTATGGTACAAAACTTCTACCTTTACAGTTGTGACTATCACAATTAGTCATAACAGTTACTGTTGAATCTAAAGAATCCTATCCCTATCTCCTTTACATCAGACCCATTTAGACAAGTAGAAAAGATGAAAACTAGTCAGTGGGGAATCTACCCCCCTGGTCCATTCTTAAACTCAAGTCCCTCTTGAAATCTTTTAAGTCAGCCACTTCATGTCTTATGGTAAGCTGCCCCCCACCCCCCTTTTAGTAGCCAATGTCTAAGTTGCCCATTCCTGTCAATCCTGAATACACAGGGGATAAGCTTGATCCTTGATGTGAAGACTCCTTCCCTCGTGGTTGGTATTTTGAGCTACTACATCCATTAAGTACAGGGCAAGATCTTCAAATTGTAGCCATTTACATTTGCTTCCTTTATCAAATTCATTTATCGCCCTCTAGTTGACCTCTAAGGAGCTCTGGTAGCTTAGTGGGTACGAATCTGGCTGCTAACCTCAGGGTCAGCAGTTCGAAACTACCAGCAGTTCCGCGGGAGAAAGATGGGGTGATCTGCTCCCGTAAAGATTTATAGCCTCGGAAACCCTGTACAAGATCACTATGAGTCAGAACCAGCTCCACGGCACATAACAACAACAAGTTGACCTCTGGTCACCAAGCCATCGAAGCTACGTCAAATCTGCAATTTTGGGTGTTTTTGTGTGTCTCCACCCATTCGTATCAGCTGAACGCTTCACTCTCAGCTCTAATGGCTAGATCAGTGTCCATGGGCTCAGGACTTCTCAAGTCTCCCCCAAACTTCGGACCAACCAGCCCTTCCTCTTCTCTCTCTCAATCCAAGGTCTACAAGAGTAGAGAATTTGGTTGAACTCAGCCCATATCTTCATTACTGTCTTGTGTGGGCTTTTAAACCTGCATTTTTAAATGGTGTTTGCGTGAGAATTGGTGGTCATGTAACTGTCAGTTTCCTCTCCATCTCTCTGCACACCAGCACATTCAAATTGCTGTCAATAGAGACAGTTTGGAGTCCTGGTGTGGTGCTGTGGGATAATGCACTGGACCGCAGTGTCGGTTTGAACCACAAAGTTGCGGTTCAAATTCACCAGCCTCTCCTCAGAAACCCTATACTGGGTTGCTATGAGTCAGAACCAACTTGAAGGCACTTAACAACAGCAACAACAATAGGGACAGTTCTGGGAAGGGGATCTGTAATTTAGAATTGCATTCTTGGCAAGTCACTAAACCCTGTAAGGCAGATACAATCATCTCACTTTGCCTGGTGAGGTAGAGATGACATATAAAAAGATGAACAAAGATTTCCTGCTTCCCACTGCTCTCCTCTCCTGAAGGTAGACTCAGCTTCCTCCTTGTTTCTTTTTTGTAATCTGCAAATGCAGCTGTATTTAGTCCCTGCCACTAACTGCCTGGCATCACAATAGGGAGCATATCCAGCTTCTTGGCTGCCTTCCTGGTCTTTGTGTAATGTTGGGAGATTGAGGAGATGCCAACAACAGGGACAAGAAAACCTAGGCCAAATAGAATCTCAGAATGCCACTGATGGTTTGAATTGAGGTGGGGTAGAAGCAGTGCAAATCTGAAATATTGGTACTGACACAAAATGGTGTATAACAACAACCTGTGGAGGCATCTCTCTAAATTTCTGTTTTTGAAATTTGTCTTTAAAATGCCTGTAGAGGGTAGACACGGGAGAATAGCTGCCTGCTTCATAATTACCATGTTCCACAAACACTGAAAGCAGCATTTACTTCTTTGGACTCTGTTTACAAATAGTAAAATGTGTATAAGAAGAAGTCTTATGCCCTTAAGAGTTTAGTCTAATAGGAGGGAGGGATTACAGAAATAGTTCCTTAGTCATAATTAGGTAGTTGTGAGGATACTGTGGAAGGAGAGAGGGCAGGTGACCTGACTTGGGGATTTAAAATAAACTTTCGGTCAACCCACGAGAGCCAATAGTCCTGTTCCTGGAACCAGTGAATACCAACAGGGCCCTACCAGAAGTCTACACCAGACACCTAACAACAACAACAGGGTATACACTTTGGCTTATTGATGATGCATGGAAGGGATTGTAACCATGGCAATGAAACGATACACAATAGATAGGTTGAATGTAAAGCTAATGTTCTCCCAGGAAAACTATCACATAATTAACAATAAAACATTAAAAAAAAAAAAAAAAGCAATCAGTTGTGTAAAAAAAAAAAAAAAAGTCTGGTCATCCTCGCCTCCAAGGAGCACTCTGGCTATACCAGTCCAACACAGATCTGTTTTTTCTTTTGGTAGCCCATGGTATTTTCAATATTCTCCTCTAACACCATAACTCAAATGCATCAATTCTTCTACAGTCTTCCTTATTCACTGCCCAACTTTCACATGCATATGAGGTTATTGAAAATACCATGGCTTGGGTCAGGCGCACCTCAGTCCTCATACTGACATCTTTGCTTTTCAATGCTTAAAAAAGGTCTTGTACAGTAGATTTGCCTAATGCAATACGTTGTTTGGTTTCTTGATTGCTGCTTCCATGAGTGTTGATGGTTGACCCGAGAAACGAAGTCTTTGACAACTTCGATCTTTTCTCCATTCATAAGAATGTTGTTTATTGGTCCAGTGGTGAGGATATTTGTTTTCTTTACATTGAGATGCAATCCATACCAAAGGCTGTGGTCTTTGATCTTCATCGGTAAGTATTTTAAGTCCTTTTCACGTTCAGCAAGCCTAAGTCTTCAAATCAAATTTTAAAAAAACAATGGGAGAGCTAGGTTGTGTTTACAGTACAGTGAACTCTAAGCAATTTGGTGTTATAACTACAACATGATGTACTGGCAGAAGAAAATAGATTGTCTAGAGTCCCTCTTCAGCTTGGTAGCAGCTGTCTAGGACCCTGTGGAGGAGTCTGGTTTTGGAAGAAAGTGTATTTATTAGTAAAGTCTAGGCATGAGTTTAGGAAGAACATTTGGAAACTAGATTTGAAAAGATGGGGGGCGGGATGTAGAGGTTTCTGGCGTTAGTGACTGGATAAGTATTGGAGGTAATCTGTTGATTTACTTGCCTGTAGATATATACAGAAAATAGATTGAGATGTGAGTTGGAAGCTAAGTGGTTGTTGAAGTGAGTGAATGAGGGGTGGGCAGAAAAAAGAGTAACTTAACATAGAGTTGTAGGAGCCTTCGTTAGATAGTGCAATCAGAGAAGTGAAGTGTGAGTGAGCCAAGGCCTGAAGGATGAGAAGGAGCCAGCTATGAGAAGAATAATCTGACAGAGGCCAGAGCTCGTACAAAGACCTGAGGTGGGAAAATGCTTGATGTATTTTAAAAACAAAGGAGGGGGCATGAAGAGTAGTGGAATGAAAGGTGGGTGGAAATAGACAGGATTAGAAGGATTATGCAGGGCCTTTAGGTGATGTTATGATGTTTGAGTTTTACCCCCTTTACTGGGATGCCATTTGAGGGTTATAAACAGGCAAGTGATAAGATTTCATTGGTAAGACATAATATTTGTACAGTTTAGAAGACTGACCATACGCCCCATACACTTGAGGGATAGTTAACTGTTCAACTTTATATATTATATTCATCAGTACATTTACTCCATTCCCTTAGACAGGCCAGCTGTTCCCTTAGTGGGCTTGCTGCCTAACTCTTGCTCTTACTGCTTATTGAAACTTTATTTACTAAGATATCTGTTAAACTTTAGTGGCTCCTACCCCAAGCTTTATTGCAGGGACCATTGCCTGCCACAGTAGAAGAGGTCAGTAAATGGATGACCCAAGTAACCACACAGATGTCCTTGCTTTATTTCAGGGATGCCTCTGGCTCAGGCAGTAGCTATTCTTCAGAAGCACTGTCGCATCATCAAAAATGTTCAGGTTCTCTACAGTGAGCAGGTGAGTGGTGACTGATTTGTTTACTGAAATAGCATCCCTAATCAGTGAATCACCTTCAGAGGTGACGCTGTGAGAGAGGATGACTAGCAGAGATTGCTGGGTCACTGGGATTGAATGGGAGAGTCTCTAGCACTAACTGGACCAAGCACATTTTTTGAAACTGTGAAACTTTGCTGTTGATAATCAATCTAGTGCTGGCAGGATTTGAACAGCAGTAGTAACTGAACCTACAGACCTCTGGTAGCGTAGTGGTTACGAGTCGAGCTGCAAACCTCAAGGTCAGCAGTTTGAAACTACCAGTTGTCCCGTGGGAGAAAGATGAGGTTTCTGCTCCCATAAAGAGTTACAGCCTCAGAAACCCTATGCAGGGTCGCTATGAGTCGGAACCAACTCCATTCTACACCATCACCACTACCAGTAACAGCCTGGTGTTTATCTGTGCTTGACTTAGCTGCTGGACCTTAGGCAGGGACTTGTTATTGGGAGGTTACCTCAGAGTTGTCTCTGGCCTTCTTTTGTGGTTTTAAAATAATAACAATAAAGTGTTGTTGTGTGCTGTCAAGTTGGTTCCAACTCTTTGCAACCCTGTATTGGGTTTCGAAGGGCAGCTGACCTTGTGGTTACCAGTCCTGAACTTATCTCCCTGAAAGATCTCTCCTCCACTGAACTCCAGAGTCTGCAGTTCTGCCACACAGAGCATGTGCTACCTGTCACAAATTTTGAAATGGTTTTGCTACGGAATGTTCTTGTGGCTTCTCTGAAACCTGACTACCAACCAGTTTCATGATATTCTAATTAATTTCAAATCCTAAAGCAAGTAACATTATTTTTGACATTAAAAATGTGAATTACAAGTAGGTGATATATTTTTAGTTTTGCTTAGAACCAGGCCAGAGTTCTACCTGTTAACCTAGAGGTTATCTTTGTTGCCTGTCATTCCAGCGTTTGTGTACAAAAGGTAGCGTTAGCATTAAGCTAATATTTCCTAATACCTTCTAAGCAACTGGAACTAGTTGGAAAACATGGGTTTTTGAGTCCATACTCTGGTTCACTCACTTTTCTTCCTTTGTTAGTCTCCTGACTTGTGGCAAATTAATAACCAGTCTGCTGCGTCTCTTGTTAATGGGTATAAAACCAAATCAGTTGCTGCTCAATTAAATCTAACTCTTGGAATATAGTTTCCTTATAATCGATTCATCTTTTGATGAGGATCAAGAGAATATGATCTTAGCTGTGATGTGATGCTTCTTACGTGTGGACCCTATTGTTTTCTCCTACCCTCTTCATTTCCTTTCCCATTTGCCCCTTTGCGCCCCATCAAGTGCCAGGAAGAGTTTGCCCCCATCACAAGTTTCAGAACTATCTTCTTGTCTCTAGGCAGAGCACACCTTGAAAATTAAATGTACATGTCAAGTAGAGGTCCTGTATTTCTTTGAAAGGATGTTAACAACTAGCAACTGTTTTATTTATTAAACTGTTTCAAATGGAAGACGGCACAGTGCTGGGTTACTGGGAGGGCTGCTAAAACATCATAGAGTATGTGTATTTTGGTTCTAGAGAAATAAAACTGCTTTTAAGGGTGGTTTGCTTGCTTTTGAAAACTGCCTAGTTCTACCCTAAATTGTAATAATGTCAGGGTAAAAATGATCAGACCTTAAGAGAGTAGAGGGAAATCGAGATCCTCCCAGCATTCCTCTTTCAAGCAAGGATCTTGAATGAAAGTAAAATGTTGCTTCCTCTTATTATCTCCATGAAATGGCTCTCTCAGAAATGGAACTTTGTGTTCTGGGTTGAGAATAGATGACCTTAGGTCAGGGTTCATTAGTCCATTATCTTGCCTGATACCTAATGGTTTTAGACATTCATGCTGACCTACTGGAGAATTAACAACATTCGTCTAATTTTTGCCAGGCATGATGGTACCACTTGGGCCCATTGCCTTGTGAAGATCAAGGGGATCGAGGGGAACAGACAGTTTGAGCTATTCCAGAAAGCTCTGGAGAGCATTCAGAATTAGGGCCCACACATGCTGTCTACCCTGAAAAACTGTGAAGAAACTTCTCTAATCCCTTAGAACAGTTGTGTTCCAGTTTTGAAGAAAGGATGGGGTTTTCGATGGTTCTGTTTTCCTTCTTCTTCTGGGCAGCCTGATTCCGGGCTGTGGAGACTCTTTAGACTTTGAGTCTTTGAATTGATTGCTTTGGATCGATGGCACGTAGGTTGAGTCGAGATGAGAGGAAGGAGTGCTTTGTGCTGCAGGGTCCTGGATTTGGTTTCCTGACCTACAGTCTCTCACTGCATAACAACTCTGTGAGGAAGGGATATGAAGATATTCTCTTAAAGAAACCAGAGCCCAGAGAAGTTTTGAAAGTCACCTAAGGTCACTAGCTCACCAGGACTCAAGGCCAGTTCTGTGGCCTTGCTCTATGCTGGATCCCCTTCCTTCTAGGTCTTAGAAGAGGCAAATGTAGAAATGTGACTACTTAGATTTTAGACTTAGGCTTTCAGAACGAAGCACATGGAATAAGGGATTGGGGATGGTGAAAGAGGAAGGAAGAAGAATGGTGTCTCATGTGTAAACTGATAGAAATTTAGCCTAAAACAGTCCAGAATAAAATGTGTTCCTTGTGCATTGTACAAACAACCAGCATGTAAATAAATGGATATTGATTCCGTTGGCATGGAGCAAGTAGTGGCTGCTGGGTTTGAGTCCTGTATTTGGTCTTCTCACAATGACCCACATTCCTCATCAACTGCTCTGTAGGCTTGAAAGCCGTCAATCCATGCTATACAACACATATGTACCTTGGAACTTCAACATGGCTTGTATACTCATATAATTTTGGCCCTTTATCCAGGTATTATTTTCAAAACCTGGACGGGAGTGGTTCTTTTCTGTTAATTCTATAAAGTAGCAGCTGCAGGCTAGAGGTGGAAGACACTGCATTTAATGTGCTCGTGTTTTTCTGGCTTCCAAACCTTGCTAGTTAGGAGAGGACAAGCTGTCTGACTGAGATGTTTCTGTGTGCTGCGTTTATATTGTGAAGCTTTCAGTAGATACTGGTGAGTACATCACTTGTTTAGGATGTGTTTTATTTTTGTTTTCCAGTCTCCTCTAAGCCATGACCTCATTCTTAACCTGACTCAGGACGGGATCAAACTACTGTTTGATGCTTTCAATCAGAGACTTAAGGTAACTTATAAATGACAACAAATGTTTCATGTCAGGTTCAGCCGGTTTCTTGGAGCCAATTAACATGGGTGTGGACTTCTTTGGTTTAGAGACCACCATGGTACAGGGGTTTAAATCTCTGCCCGGCCCCCTAAAATAAGGAAGATTATCGAGCTGGGATTGTAGTGAGATCCAGTGGTTGAAAGGGGCTGGGGAGGACTTTTTTGGTACAGGTTCCAGAGGTGGAGGTAAAGAAGTATTGAGCATTCTGAGAACATGCAATAGAATGAGGACTTATAGTTGAATATGAAAACAAGAGTGGGCCTAAGTATAGCTCTCCCTAAGTCTTAACAGATACCGAGATGGAGCCTGATGTGGTGCTGTTAGATTAGCTATGAACTGTGAACCACAAGGTTGGTGGTTCAAACCCACCAACCGCTCCTTGTCTACATATTGGTTGTATTAAATAATATGTTTCTTCTTTAAGGAAAGCTAGGTGTTCAAACTTTTTGAAGTACTATGTGGTGCTGTAGGATACACACTGGACTGCTAAACCACAATGTCGGCAACTCAGATCCACCAGCCACTCCTTGGAAACCCTATATAGGGTCGCTATGAATCAGAATTGATTCAAGGACACTTAATAACAAGAACAACAACAAAGATGGGGTCTAACTGTAGAATAGGACCAAGTGACTTCAGCCAGGTTTATGTATCTTGCTTTATTTTATTCTTGTGTCAGACAGTATGACATAGAAGCTAGAGAATGGAAACTATTCTTCAGAAATGTTGGGAGCTGTGGGTTACCACCACCAGTGGTGAGTTTATTTTTTAATTCCTTTGAGAAAATGGAAACAAACAACTTGCTGGTGTGTGGGCTTGTCTTAATTTTATATTCACGTGCAATTTGCTAACACCTGTGTTAGTCCAGGATATTTTTAATACACCCTGTTTGTAAATGCCTGAGCTACACAGGTTAGTCACATGACACTAGGCTTGTGTCTGAAAATCACAGGGTTGACTGTGGGCTCTGGGCCAGCAGCATGTCCAGACCTTCGGCAGTGATGTGTCAGAGCTGTCATCTGGTTAGGTTATGGAGTAACCTTTTCAGAAGATTTGGGCAGTACCTACTTATCATCACATCAAAAGTCAACTGCTTCCCAGAGATTCAGCAAGAAAACTATTGGAAGATTCAGCAGATTGGCAGGATACAAGATCAACATACAAAAATCAATTACATTCCTCTGGCTTTCTGCCCCCATAAAGATTTACAGCCTAAGAAACCCTATATAGGATTGCTATGAGTCAGAACTGACTCCACGGCACACAACAACAACAAAATACTGAGAAAGAGAGCTCTGAAAAGGAAATCAGGGAAACAATACAATTTACAATAGCCACCCAAAAGATTAAATGTTGTTGTTAAGTGCCTTCACGTCAGTTCTGACTCATAGCAACCCTATATAGGGTTTCCAAGTAGCAACTGGTGGGTTTGAACCACGAACCATGTGAATAGCAGTCCAGTGCTGATCCTACGGTGCTGCACTAGGACTCCAGAATGTAAACAGAGAAACAAAAGACCTATACAAAGACAACCACAAAAGACTACTAGAAAAAAACAAAAGAGACCTACAAACTAGAAGAGTATATCATGCTCATGGATAGGAAGACTTAACATTGTGAAAGTGTCAACAATACCCAAAACAATCTGTAGAGATAATGCAATCCCAATCCAGATTCCAGCATCATTCATTAAAGAGATGGAAAAATTAATCATTAACTTTACATGAACAGGACAGAGACCCTGGGTAAAAAGCATTGAACCAAGTAGCAAGCCTCTTACTTCCTGATCTCAAAGACTACTGCACAGCTATAGTCATCAAACAGCGTGGTACTGGTACAACGATAGACACACAGACCAATGGGAACAGTATTGAAAGCTCAGAAGTAAACCCACCCACCTATGATCAGTTGATCTTTGACAAAGGACCAAAACACATTAAATGGGGAAGAGATATTCTCTTTAACAAATGGTCCTGGCAAAACTGGAAATCCATTTGTACAAGAATGAAACAAGACTCACACTATGTTTTAAAGAAAATAACACAATATAGATTAAACACCTAACTCTAAAACCTAGAACTATAAAGATTATCTATGAAAAAATAAGGGCAAAGTTAGGGGTCAAATATATAACATAAATACACTATCAAACACAACCGAAAATACACAAACAGCAGAAGACAAAATAGATGACTGGGACCTCCTAAAAATTGGATGCTATGTGCATCAAAAGATTTCACCAGAAGAGAACCTATAGACCAGGAAAACTTTTTCAGCAATGACATATCAGACAAGGGACTAAGCTAAAATTTATAGAACATTTCAGTATGCCTCAAAAAGAAGACGACAAATATACCAGTTTAAAATTGGGCAGAGGACATGAACAGACACTTAACCAAAGAAGACATTCAGACAGCCTACAAACATGAAGATATGTTTATGATCACTGGCTATTAGAGAGAAGCAAATCAAAACAACAATGAGATACCATCTTAGCCCAGCATTAATGGCAAAGTTCAACAACAACAACCAAAAAAAACCCAGAAAAATGCTGGCAAGAGTGTGGAGACTCTGGGACCCTCTTACACTCCTGGTGGGGTTATAAAAATGGTGCATCACAACAGAAAACAGTATGGTGCTTCCTCAAAAAGTTAGAACTAGAAATACCGCATGACCCAGGAATCTCTTTACTTGGTATACATCCTCAAGAAACCCATGACATGAATATGCACACTTATGTTCATTGCAGCACTCTTCACAATATCAAAAATATGGTGACAGCCTAAATGTCCATCAGCAGAAGAATGGTTAGACAAACTGATACACATACACACAACCTTGAAAAATAGTAATGAATCTGCTAAATACCTCATAACATGGATGAACCTGGAAGACATAGTGCTGAGTGAAATTACTCAATCATAGAAGGACAAATACTGTGTGAGACCACTGTTGTAAAAAGTGAAAAGATAGGTTTTCATGCTAAAAGAAGCATTCTATGATGGTTCCCAGGGGTGGGAGGAAAGGGAGAATTATTCACAGTCTAGAGGGTAAATGTTTGTTAACCTGGGTGATAGGGAAGGTAGCTTTGGGGTGGGGAAAGGGGGAATGGGGAGTGGCAGACAAAAAGCAGAATAAGGGGATAGTGTTATAGTGGATGGGAACAGTGCCTACCTTTAAGATGTTAGGATTACAAGTGACTAATTTTTTTCTTTGTGTTTTTCCTGTACTTTCCAAATCATTTGCAGTAAATGTGCGTTCCTTCTATAATTAGAAAAAATTTTTAATTGCTTAGTTGTTCAGTGCCATCAAATCATTTCCAACTCAGCAACCCTGTATAGGAATGGCTGGCTGATTTGAACTGTCAACCTTGTGGTTAGTACTATACCAGGACTTCAAAAGTTACTTAGAGAAATATTTTTTAAAATAATGTACTGGAAGGATTTGAGTAAGAAAGAGTAACCAGAAGCATAGATTTTCCTCTTTTTTTTGGATAAATTCCCTTTCTAAAGGGAAAACAAAAAAGCAGAAAACCAAGAAATTTCCCAAAGGGGGAGAGTTTTCTACTTTTTTGTTTTCCTCAGCTGCTAAGGAGAAAAGATAAAGCATAGAACGAGAATGGAATGAATGCGCCTCAGCTAAGAGCTAGATGGGTTTTCCAAAAATACAATGGAAACTTAGCCCCACAACTCCTTTGTCTCTTCTTGTGGACTCAGTTATACTGTCTGTACTGGCCAGAATTTTCATGCTTGGGAAGGGTAGAAGATGGTTTTCAATGTGGTTTAATCGCAAATTTGAGGGGAAAAGATAGAAAGAGAATGTTGAAAAATGTTGTATAGCAGAGTTTTTGTCATGAAAAGCTAAAATAATCTAACTCAACAGGCAACAATAGAGGATGGCTAGACACCACATAGAATTGAAGCAAATGTTTAGTGGCCATTTAATACATGCTAGGCACCTGTCTGTATGCTTTATATACGTTTCCTCATTTAATACTAACAATCCAAGTGAGCAGGTACTTCACCACAGTTACCAGTGAGGCAACTGAAGGACTGAGGATAAGTGGTCTGTCTAACATCAAGCTATTAACCATATCTTTTGTCTCGTAACTGACCACTGAAAATGGGAACGGCTTGGGTTCTGTTGAGAGTTGTAGCAAATAATTCAGAAACACAAAAGAAAATAGTGTGAACACATGTGAATGGGAAAGGAGTAAACTAGAATCAAACCATTCTCTGCCTTCTGTGAGTTCCCTCTACAGAAGGGCCTGGGTACCTATGTGAAGGCTGAGGAAGTGATCCATCTAGGTGTTGTTGGTTGGCACCAGGCCCAACTTGACACATCTATTTGTCCTTCCATCTAAGGACTTCAGAATTCCACCCTTCCCCTCCCCACCACCTCCTGATGCTGTCTTCTCTAGTCCCTTCCCCCAGCCTCTAGAGCCAGCGAGAAAGCCATGTGCAGTGAAGTTCCATAGGTGACAGATTTTACAGGCACTATCTTTTCCTTTCTTATCTCGGTTGCTCTCCTGTCTCCTTCCCTTTGAGAAAACCAAGGCCTTCAGGGTATAAAGTCAAGGGCTTTAAGCTTTCCTAGCTGTGACTCAGGAAGCTCTATGTGATTAGCTCCAGCCCACTGTGACCCCATCAGACCCACTGTTACCCCATCAGATAGACCGGGTTGAAACACCTAAATGTTAAACTGGGCTATTGGTTAGTAGATGACAGTGGCACAAAAGGAACATCCTGGAAGCCTGCACTCACGGGTTGGGGATGCCCTTTGAGTCACTGGCCAACCATAGGGGTAGCAGTCAAGGAGGCAGAGTGGCTGCCCCTACTCCCCCACCCCCAGCACTGTTGACCATAGACACTTGAGCTGCTGGCCTAGGTGGGCTACTTGCCATGCCCAGGCTGTATGAAGTGGGGGACACTGGCTATTCTCAGAGTCATAATTATTCCCCTACCCTTTCAAAGTGACTCAAATTGAGTTTTTTTATAATGCCAAGGAGTATGAAATTTTTAAGTCTGTTAGCTTACCAACTTCAAAGCATTAATAACTCTTAAAACATTTGGGTGATTTTTTTTTTTTTTTTTCTCTTTTAGGTGATTGAAGTACATGACTTGACTAAAGTAAAGTTAAAATATTGGTACGTTTTCTCTCCCTGTTAAATGTGACAGTTGATACACATGAGCTTTAACTTCTGTGCTTAGTAGTCAACACTAGATTTCCTTCTGCAGCAGCCAAGAATTAGGGCCTGGTACCGTAGTTTATTGAGACAAGCTCCAAGTTGGAACGAGAAGAAAACCTCGTGCTATGTTGCTGGGTGTTAAGTACTGCACACATGTGTTATCTTATTTAGTCCTTACAGCAAAGCGGATTCTCAGTTCAGAGTTGATATGACTGCCTGTTGCACAGACTCTTGGCACCTCTTTTCATGAGTAACAGAGATGGATTGGACTCGAAAGCCTCTCTAAAGAGAATAGCAAAGGGACCATTATTTTGGTCCACAAATATTTGAACCTTCACTATGGCAAAGCACTGTGCTAATATCTAGAATATCCCTTTCAGGATATCCTTAGCAGGATGCCTCTTCCATTTGTGAGGTGTGAGCAGGGCCCAGCTCCCATGGTAGGTCTAAGTAGTATTGGCTGATGGAGGAATGGATGCACCAAGATGTAATAGCACTGACTCCTGCAGATTTTAGATATCCTTAAGGTCAGGTTTCTCTTGTAGGACTGGACTGCTTCTACCAGCTGCTCCTCAGAAACCCTATACAGGGTCGCTAAGAGTCATTGGGTTATGGGTCAGAGTGTGGGATCTAGAGTCACGCTTCCTCACTTAACCTCTGTGACTTAGGGTAAAAGTTTGTTTTTTCATCATAGAAATGGGGTCAGTAGTGTTGCTGCCAAATTGTTCAGAGGATAAAGCACATAGCATAGTGCCTGGGGTTTTCGTAATTTTTTTTTTTTTTCTAAAAGGCATTCCATAAATTATACTACTGTTTTTTGGTTTTTTTTTTAATTTATTTTTAACCTTTAAAATTCCTCCTTAAGTCATACCCTTAACAGGCTAGATGTATTTGTGTTTCTGAGGGTGTCATTATCCAATGGGGGCAGTGTGCAGGCGGCTTAATGGTGGATCAGATCTTAAGACCTTGACCTAGAACATCCACAGACATCTGGTGAGCTTTCCATTACAAGAGGGGTTAGATGTTATGGCATTTGTGTGGTGTATGTTTTTTCCTGTAATGTTCTAATTAGAACAAAAGGTAATGTACAGTTAATCTTCACATGAAATCATGTGATAGAATAAACTCTCAAGTTTACCCCAGCTTTTTGTTTTTGTACATTGCATAGGATCCATCCCTCTCTCCCTACCCAGTCTTTGAGGGCTAGCTCTTCTGCCTGTTAAAGGAGACAGGTGTCCCTGCTTGGATACGGCCTTTCTCTAAGACATGGCTGTTGCTTTTCTAAGAAAGTTCCTTTTTAAGCCAAACTGCTAATATGCATCTGAAGAATACACTGACTGTATCTTCTGCTGACCATTCTTTGTCCAAGTCTGAATGCCGTACTGAGCTTGGGGGTGCCATGGGCTATGAGCAGATTTTTTTCTCTCTGGACTGTGCCCCTTGTCTGCAGATGTTTTGAGAGGTCAGAGGACAAACTGTATCAGCCTCATAAGAATTGGCCTTGTTCTAACCTCATTAATTACAAGTTATATAATTTAGCTTCTGAGACTGTCTTTTAATAATAACTCTTGCAGCCACAATCACCCGTGATCTGTACGTCCATCCCATGAAGCCTGGTATTAAAAAGTACCTTTGCTTTTCAGTGGCGTGCATTTTAACTCTCAGGCCATAGCTCCCACCATTGAGCAAATTGACCAGTCTTTTGGCGCAACCCATCCAGGAGGTAAGTTGTGTCCATCTGATTCCTCTGGTCATCAGGGGTAACACATTGATAAACCTGGCAAGTGGTACCACCCCAGCCCTTCCCCTGAAACCAGGCTCCTATAGGGTTTGGGGCTTGGTACTTGGGTGTGAAGGAAAACTCCTCCCCATTATTTTTAGTCTAATAGGTCAGTTCAGAAATGAGCCTAAAAGAAGGTTACCAGTCATCACTCCCTGCCAGGCTGGTTTATATTAGTAACTTCAGGTGCCAGTCAACCCTGTCTTTTTCCCTCCCTTCCCATCCCCACAGTGTACAACTCTGCTGAACAGCTCTTCCACCTCAACTTCAGAGGACTGTCTTTCTCTTTTCAGTTAGACTCATGGACGGAGGCGCCCAAGTATGAGGTTAGCCCTTCCTTCCCTACCTGGTATTGGTTTCCCCAGTGCCCTGGTGATGTGGGTCAACAGACGGTGCCATGTGGGCAGGCTGGATATTCACTCTTTCTTTGGTTCCTTTGTCATTGAGCTCTTCAGGGGATGATGCAGTGGCAAAGGAAGAGCAAAGCCTAGGCTGGCATTCCCAAGGAGAGGGCACTGCTCACTGCAGACTGAGTGAGGTCGATATACTTCTTAGAATCCCGCTGCCCAATTCTGCTTTGGTTTTAAGCTCCTGGTCACTGTATAATTTTCTCTGGCCAGAATCTGAGAAATTTTAGTCTCTGGATTTTCAGTGATCTGTTGCTTTTGGTAGCATTCCATTCATCCTTAAGGAACAGCGTCCCAAGGATTATGGGAATGATTGCTTTTCATAACGCTTACATCTTAAGTAAAGAAGTCATTCATGCATCTTTGCTTTGATGAAGGAAAGTAAAGCAATGTAGAATTAAGGTGAACTTGCATAATTGGAGTGAGTTTACTGATCTGGGGCCAGATGTGACCTGACCAGTTCTTTAGTGACAAGGCATTCCAGCAGTGCTGGAGTCACATGGTCTGCAGTGTGCCCTAAGTAAAACTCTTGTCTTGTGTTTGCAGCCCAATTTTGCCCATGGTCTAGCTTCTCTCCAGATTCCCCACGGAGCGACTGTGAAACGAATGTACATCTATAGCGGAAACAGCCTACAGGATACCAAGTAAGTGAGGACGTTCATGGGCTTCTTGTTGAGGCCCTGGGCTTCCTGGGAAGGGAGGCAAAGCCTTGCTTATTCTGTGCCTGCCCCCAGGGCTCCTGTGATGCCCTTGAGCTGTTTCCTGGGCAATGTGTATGCTGAGAGTGTAGATGTTCTTCGAGATGGAAGTGGACCCTCAGGTTTACGTCTTCGCCTACTTGCTGCAGGTCAGTTACTGACTTTGAGGTAGTGGGTTCCTTATTACACTCATTTTGAGAAATTCTAAACTCTCATATGTTTAGAGATATATTTGGTAGGAAGCAAATGATGCACATGTTTATAATCAAAGATTTCATTTCAATTTATGACAGAAAAGAATATCATCTTATCCTTAAATATAAGCTTAAGACAGTTAACATGATTCCCTCTGCATGCACATAAGCCTTATCTATGCTGTGTGGTTGTGTAGCTTTGCAGTGGTGCCCAAATTGTATCTTGGGGATGTATCATGTAGGCTGAAATATTGCCTACTTTCTCCTTGTCCACGCTCAATGCCAAGTTCTCAGAGTAGGTGGGTAAGGGGACTTAGTGAATTGACGTTTAGCCACACTCTGCTGAGAGTTTTGCTGACCATGAACAAGAAAGAGTTGTTGTCGATAGTAACTGTTATCTCCAAATGCTGCCTCACTTTGTGATTTTCTCCTGCTTGTGTTGTTTTTAGGACTGTATAGTTGGTTTGGGCTTATGGTGACCCTTTGTAGGGTTTCTAAGGAGTGGTTGGTGGGTTTAAACTAACAATCTTGTGGTTCAAAATGACCTTGGGGTCTGGTGCATTATCCTCTAGTGCTCCTGCCTGTTGTTGTTGTTGTTGTTGTTGTTGTTGTTGTTAAGTGCCGTAGAGTTGGTTCCGACCCATAGCAACCCTGTATAGGGTTTCCAAGGAGCAGCTGGTGAGCTTGAACCACCGAACTTACAGTTCAAACGGCTTTGCAGTTGGGCGCATTAACCCACAGCGCCACACCAGGACTCCTGCCTGTAGACATCAGCTATTTGAGGCTTTAGTTCATGCTTATAGGGTAAGGGTCTCCAGTGAGGAGTTTGCTAATTCAGGCTCTCACAGAGTTTTTGTCCAATGCATGATTCACTGAGAGCTTCCTTTGGGCAATCAGATGTGTAGTTTGTCTCAGCCAACCCATGTCTCACATCTCTTTCCTTATAAAGTGTAGCCAGAGTGATTTTATTTTTAACACGGAAGTCAGTTTGACCATCTCAGTTCCCACAGCAATTTATAGGTAGGAAGACTCATTCCAGGAAATCAGAAACTAAAAAGTAATCTCCCCTAAAGCTGAGGAAATTTTCACTTGATTAAATTTCAGGCAGAGAAGACGAGAAAAGACTCGCCTCTGAAGGGTTCCTTCCCTGCAGTCCCACCTGGATGTTTATATCTGGTATATGAGAAATGTTATAAGCCACTGGAAACGTGGGGCCCACAGCCCAGCTTTGCAAGATTTGGTGAGGTTTGTAGGTTACCCAGCTTTGATTAGGCTGCAAGATTAGTGGGCAGAAGATAAATACGGACCATGCTTTTCCCAAGATCCAGTTAATTGAAATACTGTGTTGACTTGCCACTCAGTATATGTGCTGAGACTAGAGACTGAGTGAAGCCTTCTTGGGTTTGCTGGATTTTGGATCTCTGGAGTCTGAGTCTCAAAAGAGCACTGGTAGTGCTATGGTGAAAGTGCTCAACTGTTCACTAGAAAGGTCTGCATTGAACCCACCATCTTCTCTCTGGGAGAGAGATATAGCAACCTGCTCTTATAAGGATTTATAGCCTGGAAGACTCGGGGTGCTTCCACTCTGTCCTTTAGGGTCACAGTGAGTCAAATCAACTAATGGTAGTGGGTTTGGTTGTTTGGTTTTTTTTTTTCGGTTTGGGAAACTCACTGTACATAGCAAATGGATTGTTGTACGTGAAAGAACTTTGGCAACTGTAAAGCCTTGTGCAAAAGTAAGGGGAAGTTTGGTTGTGAATCAGAATTCTAGTTCCTCTGATTTTTGCTTGCTTTTTTTGTTTTGTGCAAAATACTTTGAATTTTACTATTGGTGTGTCTACTTCATAACCATTTCCCCATGTGTGTGTTTGTGTTGTGAGAGAGAGAAAGATTAACTGGAAACATTTCTGAAATGTATTAGAAAAAAGGTTTAAAGAATCGTCCCAAAGAAGAAACTTTTGGCAAATCAGATGAGTTTTTGTTTCATTGCTCCACCTTCCTGGTTTGTCTCTTTTGAAGGAAAGTGGGTCTTACCTGAGTTGTAAGGCTCAATCAGATGTGTATAGAAATAGAGAATCAGTTAATGGGGGCTTTACTCTTGGCCCTTAACACAGTGATCAGTCTCAACTGGGGGTTACATTGAAGAAATCAACATATTTCTAGCACTTTCCCTCTAAACCTTCCCGTTCAGATTCCTTCCAAACAAAGTGTTAATTTCCTGGTGTCTTTTAAAAGGTATTGATGATCTTGGTGGACAGGTATAACCTGAAGCAGACTCATGGGCCTCAAGAAGAAGGAAGTAAAAGCAGTTGTGTAATGAAGTACCTCTAAACACATCCTGAAGTCCTGGTGTGGCGCTGTGGGTTAATACTCCAGACTGCAAAGCCTTTTGAACTGCAAGGTCAGCGGTTCAAGCTCACCAGTCACTCCTCGGAAACCCTATACAGGGTCACTATGGGTCGAAACTGATTCAATGGCACTTAACAACAACAACAACAAACACATCCGTGTATCTCGTCAGAACCTGAAAAGTGGCAAGAGATCAGAGTACCCCATGATAGACTTTATTATTTATTATTATTTTTGTGAATTGGGTGAAGGTTTGCAGAACAGATCAGTTTTCCATTCAACAGTTCATACAAATTTTGCTTCATGTCATTGATTGCAATCCCCACAATACAGCATCATATTCCACTTCATCCTTATGTTTCCTATTTTCATTCCTCCTATCCTAATCCTTCTGAACTTTGTACTTTTGTTTTCAAATTATTTGAATATGCAAACTTTATTCTAAAGTGTGGAGTCCTGGTGTGGTGCTGTGGGTTAACACACTGGACTGCAAAGTCTCTGAACCACAAGGTTGGTGGTTCAAGCTCACCAGCTACTCCTTGTAAACCCTATACAGGGTTGCTTTGGGTTGGAATTGACTCAATGGCACTTAACAACAACAAACCAGTGTCTTTCTGACCAATAAATCTGGACCTTTTTATGATTTTGAGTTTTGCTCTACATTTTTCTCCCATTCTACCCAGGACCTTCTAATAGGATCCCTTTCAGGGCAGTTGATAGTGATAAACAGTGTGTGGTTCAGTGGCCCATTGGACTAATTGTTTCCATGTGTCTTCCATTTTCTTCACTCTTCTTTTCTCTGGACAGGGAGATACCAATAGTTGCACCTTAGATGGCCGCTCACCAGCTTTTAAGACTTCTAAGTAGGATGTATAGCATTGTCTTTGTGGGTCCATGATAGCCTTTCATAGCACTATATGTTGCTGTTTATTTTATCACAGTTGCAGAACGTTTTGATTGTGTCCTTCATCAGACCCTAAGCTTCCTGTGTCGGCTAATCCACCAGTCTCAGTCAGACTGGTAGTGCAACCAGTGGAGGGTCTCAGACTCTGTGCAGGAATCTAACCACCTGTCCTTTGTTTGCTACAGGTTGTGGGCCCAGCCTTCTGGCAGATGCCAAGATGCGAGTATTTGAACGTTCAGTGTATTTTGGTGACTCCTGCCAAGATGTTCTTAGCATGCTTGGCTCTCCACACAAGGTCTTCTATAAGTCAGAAGACAAGGTAGGGAAATGTGATTATAGAATGAATAAGCAATCTCATTTGTTTGTTATAAATCAAGACTAATTTAATATTGAGTAAATGTGTACTATTTGCTATATCTCCTTAGAGTCTATTCTACTTAAAGCTGATTGAGAAGTGTATCAGACAGGTCAAGCTGCCCTACTTTGTCTATGGGGCCTTTCCTTGGAGACGAGGGTCCAGTTCATAGTCAACCACAGCAGAACCCACACTCCAACTGACCCAACAGCTTAATACAAGGGGCACAGTTTATAGACTTGCAATTAATCTCAGAACTGTATTAAGTGGTTGAATTTTAATTCTTATTATTTTTTCCCAACAGATGAAAATTCATTCTCCTTCTCCTCATAAACAAGTTCCATCTAAGTGCAATGACTACTTTTTTAACTACTTTACTCTTGGGGTGGTGAGTTCCATTTCTGTAGGTTATGGGCCTATATCGGGTGGGCAGTGCTCCTGTGCACACCTGGGTGGACACACAAAGCTGCATCTGTGCTCAAGCCATCAAGGAACCTAACCCAGCTGGCTTTGTCCTGTGCTGTCTGGTATAGGCACTGGTAACCAAAAGTAGACTTTTCTGCCACCGAGATGGCTCCCTGTTGTGCCTCACTGTCTTTTTGTAAGAAAACCTCTTCACAGATGGAGGCTCTGGAAATCATGTAGCTTAAGATGTATTGAGAATAGTCCTGTTGTTGAGCACAGGACCCTCTTCTGAGGTCACAAAACTGAGGAAACGGAAGCTGGAGCCAGATGAGCAGCCTCTCTGGGAGCATTGGGAAAGTCACAGTGGGCTCGTATGACCTCTGTTGTATGTTGGTGGTGGGAGAGAGGAGTACTGTTCATGGTTGACCTCTGAGTTTGAGGGCCATTGATAACAGGGAGGGAAAGAGAGAAGGGATCAGCCTTAATAGGATTTAGCATTCCTCCTCTTATGTGAGTGGAGTCAGAGTAGCCCTGAGGTCAGAGGCCTGAACTGCTGGTGAGATGTAAAACTGGAATGCTGTGGGCGATAAGAGGAAGCATTCAATAACCCACTGCCATCAAGTTGACTCTGCTTATCTTGACCCTGTGGGACAGAGTAGAATTGATCCTTAGGGTTTCTGAGACTGCTTTACAAAAGTAAACGGGTTCATCTTCCTGTGGAATGCCTAGTGGGTTTGAACCACCAACTTTGCAGTTAGCAACCCAATGCTTGTGTCAAATCTGGGTCTGGATCCTGGTGAGAGGTCAAGCTGGTGCCAGTGGTTGTCCACCCCCACAGAGAATATAATAGAAGCCAAATAGGTCTGGCAGGTCATGGCATCAAAATAGCCATGTACTTTTCGAGTCCCTCAAGAGTCAGTGACACTTGAATCTTGAAAGTCTTTAAGCTGCAAACTGTGCTCATCAGGTGCCTATTTTGTAGCAGATACTTGTTGGCAGGGTTTTCGTTCCCAAACTGAAAGGGGTGGTCCACCTGTACTTGGCTGAGTTCCCTCACTGACAATGCCCAGTAAAGGCTGCTTGACCTTAGCTGTCCCCTTGGAAGGAAGTGATTGTCCCCAGATATCATCCCCATTGTGGAGTAAATGTCCCTGAGTTGGGCGTTAGAAAGGTCTTGACCTGCCTCAATAACATTCTTTTCTTGCTTGCTGCTGTTTTCTGTCCTAGGACATCCTCTTTGATGCAAATACACACAAAGTGAAGAAATTTGTCTTACATACCAATTACCCTGGGCATTATAATTTTAACATGTAAGTACACCTGTACCTGTCCCTCTAAAAAGTGAAAAACTCCAGGAAAGAGAGCTTGTGCCTTTGGGTTTCCACTAAGTAATTACCCCTGAATTCTTGCTGTTTTATGGGAAACAAGTATTTTGCAAATGGGAAAATAGGTCCAAAAAGCTTGGGGTCTGGCCCAGAGTGATGAAGGCTTCAGATCTTGGGGCCATCCCAGAATCTGGCCTTCTCCGGTGAGTGCTGTCAAAGACTCAGAGCCAGCGCTTTGGGCAGGTTTGTTCATCTCCAGGGTGCAGAGGTCATTGGGTCTTCTGGGAGGCTTAGCTGATATCCCATCTGCCTTCTCCTTCTAGTTATCACCGCTGTGAGTTCAAGATCCCACTAGCCATAAAGAAAGGTGAGTGGTGATGCCCTTTAGGGAAGGAAGAGGCTTTGGAGCACTTCCACTGTAGGAAAGGTGGTGGGTGGGTTACAAAGCCACTGTCCTCTACTTCCGCCCGTAGCCTCAGCACTTCTGGGTCTGTAATCTCCTGCAGGCCTTAAAAAGTTTTTTCCTAAAATTGTTTTTAAAAAAAAAAAACTCTTTTTCAATTACCGCGGCCTCTGGTGGTGACAAGTTTATTATCCAGGTGCCTTGTGACTGCTCCCATTGCTCACACATAATGTTCTCTCTCACCCCTAAACCCACTCCAACCTCCCAGCTTTTCCACATTGGCACACTCAGGCAGCCTGTTCACCTCCCTTTGTACTCCAGCCCCACTGCAAAGATTGGCCAGGGCTAGATTCTATCTAAGACTGAGACCACTGATAGGGCTGAGCCAGCTATCAACTGCCCCTGGTATTCTCTTTACAGAAAATGCAGATGGACAGACAGAAACATGCACTACCTACAGCAAGGTGAGCTCCTCTCCCACCTGGCTCAGTGTGAGAATGACGTAGGTGTGGGCTTATCAGTGGTCACAGGCCTGTTCAGGTCCTTGCTGACCTCCGGCTATATATATACCCTGTTCCTCTTACAGTGGGACAACATCCAGGAGCTCCTGGGCCACCCTGTGGAGAAACCTGTAGTCCTACACAGGTGAGTGAGAGGTTGCTGTTTCTTACCACCCCACTCTGCTCCTCACAGCCCTGGGCTTTCTGGGTATTGCTTAGAAATTAACAAAAGTTTTGGGGCTACCACAAACAAACTGCCCCACTCTACACATTGGGACTGGGCCAAACTATTCTGCATATTTACTTGTGACAGAGGCTTCCCCTGGAGATAGCTCCTCTCATCTTACTCTACCTTTAGGGATGGAGGCCTCTCAGCCCTAGCTATGATTTAGAGAGGAGAGTGATTTTGACTGGCTGGCCTGGAGTTTTCCTTATCAAAGCTGCTACCTGCTAGTCCATAGTCCCTTTTCTGATGGCCCCGCTGCTTGCAAGAACCTTCTCGCCTGACTTCTCATCACTCCAGCCCAGTACTGACATTTATTGCCAGGTTAGGTTGTATAGGATGCAGGTAGAGTGAGGCCATTTCCTAGGACCTCAGGGGCCTGTGTGGGAGGTGAGAGCCCCCATCATAGAAGGGACTGGGGGCCTGGCCTGGCCTGACCTCTAACTCTGGTTTCTCTGGCCTCAGGTCGTCCTCCCCAAACAACACCAACCCATTTGGCTCCACGTTCTGCTTTGGTCTTCAGCGGATGATCTTTGAGGTAAACTCTGAGGCCCTAGAGCTGTTCTGGTTTAGGGGTCAGTGGGCATGGCAAGGACAGGCAGATAGATGTCTAAGGGAGGTTAAGGAGGGCCCATTGTCATACTGAACATGTTGTTCTGCCCTCACAGCTCTGTGAACAGAGAACTTGGTATGCTTATTTCTTAGTGTTGTTAAGTGCTGTGGAGTTGGTTCCAACTCATAGCAACCCTGTGTATGGTTTCCAAGGAGTGGCTGGTAGGTTTGAACTGCCAACCTTATGATTAGCAGTTCAGTGCTTATTCTATAGGACTTAGCACACCAGGACTCCATTTCTCAGTGAGGGTTCTTCTGCCCCATGGCTCCCTTCCCTGTTGTATCCATGTTTTCATATGTAAACATGGAATTCCTGTTACCTCTCATCTTCACTGTAGATCCCTGTTTTGGCCTCTGTGACCCTGTGGCGCTGTAGGATAAGTGCTGGATCACAATGTCAATTTGAACCATAAGGTAACAGTTCAAGCCCACCAGCCACTCCTCAGAAACAGGGTCGCTGTGAGTCTGCACCAATTTGATAGCACTTAACAACAATTTCTCAGTGAGTGTTCATAAATGGTGTTGGGGAGATTCAGAGGCCGAAGTAGTGGTCTATACTGAAGATGAGAGGTGACAGGAAGTCCATGTTTACATATGAAAGCATGGGTACAACAGGGAAGGGAGCCATGGGGCAGGTAGGGCTCCGCCCAGGAGTGTTGGGGGCTCTGGAGTGCCATGGGAATGACCTGGGTAAGTGGCGAGGGCTTGGCATAAGGTTGGGTGGCCCCTACGTTTCCTTCTGTATTGTTACAGACATCTCTTTCTTATCTGTTCCAGAAGGGCTGGTCAAATGAGGGCAGAGGTTGTTCCCAACATTAGCTGGGGGGTGGGGGTGTAGACAGGTGAGCGGCTTGGTTCCTTGCATAATCCTCATACATAGGCTTCAAGTCTCATATCTGTTATCTGCAATCACAGACCCAAAGCTGACCCCACTGGTGTATTTTGTGGGTGTCACCTCCTTGCCTTAACCCACTGTCCTCTCCTCACATCAGGTCATGCAGAACAACCACATTGCCTCCGTGACCCTGTATGGCCCCCCCAGGCCTGGTGCCCACTTGAGAACAGCAGAGCTCTCCTAGGGCACCACCACACTTGCCCGTTGGCCCCATGGAGCTGTGTGCCATATCTTGCTCAGTGGGCCTCAGTGAGCCACGCTGTGGGTTTTCCTGGACACTTTGCCAGTGTTGGAGGGTTGTGTGATGCTCTTGAGTTGGGGCTTGGGTATGGTGCTCTGCTTTGGAGTGAGGGCCAGATCATCCCTCTGTCCATCCTCAGCCTGCAAGCACCAACCAGCAGGCAACAGACACTGCAAAGAGAAGCACAAACTCTGAGCCTCCATACTTGGACTTAGGAACTCTCGACTAACTCGAGGAAGCAGGGTTCTGTCTGCCCTGGCCCATACACATTGGGGAAACTTGGGCTCTTTTCTGTGGCTGAGGACATCGATGCCCAGGGTAAGGACACAGAGTCCTACCTTTGGCCAGGCATTGCCACGTGACCGTTAAAGCAAGCAGGTAGCATGTCCATAGTACTTGGTTGTGATGTTTGCACTACATCCACTTTAGTTACTTGATGAGCTGGCTGTGGCCTACCTGGCCCGCCTGCCCTTTCCTGTTCCTTTCTTGCACGAGTTTCCTGCTAGGCCCAGTTAGCACTCCCAAGTGAATGAAACTCAGCTTTGTACCTTCCAGGAACGTGCCTAGACCTGGTACCCTCCCCTTTTGGAGCCAGCCTTCACAGTTACCTGTGCCCTCACTCTGCCCCAACCTGGCTGGTGGAGGCTGCATGTTTCCATTCTGTCTGCCTTTTATTTGATGCCAAAGTTTTAGCCAAAGACATATTCCTTCCTTTGTTGTATTCCAGCATTCAGTTCTTCACTGTGGGCTGGCTCCCTGCCCCTGCCCTGGGCAGTGCCCCCTGACTGGGTCATTCATGGCACCAGACCTCTGGGGGCTCAAGGAGGGCAGGGTTTGCTCGAGTCTCTTCATGGGTCTTGCTAAGGAAAGTAGCGTATGTGCTTTAAAAATAATCTTTTGAAAAGAGAAATGTATCATTTTATCCCTTTTTTAATATTTTGGTCTAGCAACTTGTGATACATAGATAACAATTTTGTGAGTTTTTCAAATGTGTGTACAGATTTTTGTAAATATGACTCTTTTGTAATTAACTCATGTACAGCCTCATCCTATATAGACTAATGATGAATGCGCAGGGGACCTGCCCCAGGCTTCTGTGGCTCCTGGGCCAATAGCCAAGGTTGTGTGGCACTCCCATGACTTTGTGATCAACTGTGGTGTCTTCCCATGTGGACCGTGGCCTGGCCAGAGACCCCGACACCCCCCCCCCAATCCCACTGTCAGGGGCAGTCAGGACTTCCACCAAACTTATCATCCCCTGTACTTCCCCTCAAATAAAACACCTATGCCCTCAGCACCTGCCCAGTACATGCTGTTGTTGGGATGTTTGTAGTAAAAGAAGTGTGATGGTGTTTATGTTGAGAGGTGGGAGTGGGTGAAGAATATGGGAAACTTTTGGTGTTTTAGGGGGAGTGGTCCTTGGCGCCACATCATCTAGCCAGGAGACTGACATGTGTGGGTGGAGGGTTTTCTGCCATGGGTAGCTGAGGGGAGGGGGAAGACTAGGTGGGGCCAGGTGAACCACAGCCATGTCAGCAAGACCAGAACCCAGCAGGGTTGGCTCCAGAAAAATAGAGCTGGGAATCCAGTTTGGAGGGAGGTGGGAAGCACAATTTAAATCTTCACGTTGAGTGGTTGCAGTATCGCAACCAGGTCCATGAAGACAGGCCAGACCACCCACCCCAATGTGCACAGCTACTAACTGGAAAGACCAACCACATCCACCACTTCACCCCTCTAATTTCAATAGGTTGCCATTACACTGGTCCCAGACCAGTTCCCCATAGGGTAAGCCAGCAGGAGCCAAGATCAACCTCCAGTCCTTGAGCCCTGTGGACACTACACCCTACTGTTTGGGACCGGATCCTGAAGTCTTTCCTCAACACTAAGTTTACATGAGAGTTGTTTGGGCCTTCCAGACAGTGAGTGGCTAGGGGCCCCATCGGAAGGGTCCTGCAGCGGCAGGCCGTGGATGAGCACAGACTGGCCGCCGAGGCCCATGCAAGAGGTGCCACATAAGCCAGATGTCAGCAGCAGAGAGCCCATGCACCAGGACCAGCTCTCGGTAAAAGCAGGGGTCAAAGGTGCGCAGGTGTGGCGCCTCTGAAGGCTGGGGGATGCCAAAAGTGCGGAAAGCTGGGTGAGACTCTGGTGTGAGTTGCAGGCGCTGAAGACACATGCCCAAAAAGACGTCATCAATGGGGAAGAGCTCCACTTGGGCACAGGCGCTAGCCAGTCGGCGCAGTGTGGCCCCTGAAAGGACGAAGCCACCACCACCTGCGTAGGTTGGGTAGGCAGACAGGCCATACACTGCCTCGGGGATGTAGTATTTGCTGTCCCGCGCTCGGATTGGTCGAGCTTGCATAATCACATCACCTGCAAGCAGGTCCTGTGACGGGTCCCGCGGGGTCAGGAATTCCAGCAGATTAACCACGTGCACAAAGACATCGGCATCACCCTTAAAAACGAAGCGCACATCGGGACAGAAGGCTGAGGCCCAGGTCAGGAAGTGGATCTCCTTGAGCGTTAGGTTGAAGAAAGTGTCGTCAAAGGCCCAGAGCAGGATGTCGGCATAGGCCCGGCTTTCAGCGCTCAGCAGGGTGCGCCAGTGCGCTTGAGTATCCATCTCATCAGCCCCGTTCGTGCCCGCGCTCCGTGGCACGCCCAGCAAGAACACTCGGCGCACGAGCGCCCCCTGCACTCGGCCTTCAGCGCCCCATGTCTGGCGCACGGCTTGGCGCCGCTCGAAGTCTGCAGCCACCGACTTGACAGCGATGAGCAGGTCGGGTCGGCCACCGGGTAATCCATCGCCAAGGCACTTGTGCGGCTGGTTAATAAGAAGCGGAAAGCGCCGCTGATCCTTGGCACGTAGGTAGTGGTCAAAGTCAAAGGGTTCCGTGGGCGTGGGCGGTGCCGGTGTGTCCTCGTCGTAGAACACGGGAGCTGCAGCCGTGTCTAGTGGCTGGAATGAGCGGTGCACCAGGTTGGGCCTCTGCACCGCCTGCTCTAGTGCGGGCGACGCACTCGTCGTCCGGGCCGCGCCGTCCCGCTGCGCGTAGAGCAGAAGGCCGAGGGTGACGCCGAGGAGCAGCGTGAGCGCAGCGTCCCCACGTAGGCGCAGCCTCCGCCGCATGTCGGCGCGGCCGGCGTCGCCACCCCCGACAAAGAAACGCCAACAGGGGCTCTCAAGGCGGGAACTATGCAGGGCTCTTGGCCCCGCCTCCCCAAGAGGATGGGGTGGAAGCCACACCCCGGGGGTCTGCCCTTTCGGTTCTACTAGTGGTCCAGCTACACCCTACCAGTTAAGATAGTATCCAAACCCACACCTTCAACCCTGGCCCAGACCGGTGCCCCCAGGCCACACTCTCCTCCTCCTCCACCTCCGCTCCCTTGGACCCCACCCCTCCACACCCCCAAGGTACCAAGTCCTTGGGATCCCGACACTCACGCTCGGCCTTCGGCAGTGACGCAGCCCCAGACGCTGGAGGTTCTGGGGCTCAGCGCAGAGTCCCAGGGGCGGCCATGGACCGAACCTGGGCCAAATGCAGCGTTGGCAGGAAGAGGGAGGGAGAGGTGGGGGGAGCTGCTGCCACGTGACTTTCCTGTTGTGAGCGCCTGGACATCTGGAACTCAGCTCCGCCCTGGCACCGGGAGCGCCATCTCCCGAGTTGGTGCTAAACCCTGAGAGGGGTCCTCCTCACGAGCAACTCTAGGGCAGCGGGTTCTGGGTTCAGCGCTGACCCCGGCTATCCAAACCCGCCGGGTCCGGGAAGCTGGAAGAAACCTCTCCGGAATGGGGCGGGGCCTGTACTGCCAGGAGCCCCCAGACTTCCACTGGTCACCGCGCCTCCCCTTGGTCCTTAGGAGCTTCTCGCCTCAGTTCCTCACAGCCCTGGTTCTGCTAGGCAGGACCCAAAACTGCAGCTGAAAAACATGGCTGCTACTGTGGCCCCCACCAAACACACACACAAGATAGTTTAATCCTCACAACTCTGGCAGGGGTTCTCATAGCTAATACCCAGGTGGAGACAGGGCTCCTCAGGGAGCTAAGTGCCTTGCTCAGGATCACCCAGGCAGAAGGTAAGAGCAACATCCTAGGTCTTCTGGAAGTCAGTCCAGGATGCTTTCCTCTATCCTTTACCCATCTCCCCATCCACCCACTGGAATACAGGCTAGAGGTCAAGACTTTAACTTCACAGTCACTTCAGTCTGTCTCCCCAGGGGTTAAGAGACCCCGGGGCCAGCCCCAGATCTGGTTCTGGGCCCCCGGACCCCAGTGCCCCAGACGAGCATAGCCTCCAGCAGTGGACAGAACCATGCCTCTGCTGCTGCAGGCCAGATTGCTTCTGCTTGGGTCGTTTCTGGAGTAGGTCAGTGAGAAAAGTGTTTGATTTGGGACCCAGGAGGGCAGAGAAGTGCCCTGGAGATTGAGAACCCAATCCTTGTCTAGTTTTGCTGCTACTTTTGTCATTCTCAAACTCAGAACCTCAGGGTTCCAGCCCCATTTAGTGGGCCCAGGAGTAGACAACCACCATCCTGGGTCTCCTGCTGTGGGGCTGTGGGATCAGCACTGGGCTGCAAACCACAAGGTCAGCAGTTCAAACCCAGCAGCTGATATTTGGACTATGAGTCAGAACCCACTCACAGCACTGAATTACCAAACTACTATCCTGGGTCTCAAAGGACAGGCTACTGGAACCAACAATGCCATCCAATGTCATGATCTTTCTGGTGGCTAGGCCTGTTCCTCTGAACTTCTTCCCATCAAGGTTCTTTCTTAAAAAGTTAGCCCTGTGGCCCAAGCTTGTCTCTCCTGTTCACAGGCTTTGCCCACCACTTCAACCTCCCATTCCTACCTGTAATCTGGCTTCTGCCCCAACTTCTACCAAAGTGGCAAAGGCAGAAACTCTGGGGCCTTCTCACCCAACCTCTGTTCAACATCCTAAAGAGGTCTCAGTGTTCACTGTTTTCTCTACAGCTCTACAGCCACAGCCACAGCCTAGACCCATCCTCTCTTTGCATTTTCACCAACATCCGAGTCTCAATTCCAGAAACCCTGAAAGGCCTCTCACTAGGGTTTTAAGATAAAATCCAAACTCCGTAAGATGGCTAACCAGACTCCATGCTATCTGTCTCCCACTCTCACCCAAAGGTTTCTCAGGAACCACCCACTCCCACCCCTGGCCACCCTTCCAGCCTCTCTATAAATGTTGTTTTAACATCCCACCCTCAAGACCTCACCTGAAGCTGGTTGTGCCCAAAACATTGCTCTTCTCTTACCATGCTCTGTACTCACACTCAAATTTCCTCTAAAGATCCTTCCCTGGTCCCGGCCTAGATTAGGCCTCTCCTTAGTGCTCCCATAATCAGTTATACTTCTTATATCAAAAAACAGGTAACAAAGCACACCTGTATCTACTCTCAAACCAGAACTAGATGGTACCTGGCCACCACTCCACTATAGTTGGACCTTGGTAGAATGGGAGAAGAATATAGAACACAGCTCCAAGCCTCAAATTCCTAAAGAAAAGATTTTATATACAAATCGGGCTGCAAACCTTTAGGTCAGCAGTTCGAAACTACCAGCTGTCTGCGGGAGAAAGATGAGGCTTTCTGCTCCGGTAAAGATTTACAGCCTCGGAAACTCTGTACAGGGTCGCTATGAGTCGGAACTGACTCCACGGCACTTAACAACAACAACAACAATGACTATGAAACCAACAGGTCAGCAACTACTTGAAAACAAAGAAGATGAGAATTTAAGGGGTCAGAGCAACTAGATTAATGGAAACAGAACAATCAGGACAGAAATAATGAGAATGTTGTGAAGAATGTGGCAGACATCACTGAACAACTTGTATAGGATTGTTGAATAGAATCTAACTTGCTCTGTAAACCTTCATCAAAAACAGTAAAATAGTATTTTATAAAAACAATGGGTTACTTTTTATTACTGTTGCTTCGTTTGGGGGGGTCCCATATATATTGAGTGTGAGCTAGGTAGGATTGTGGTATCTTGCTCACCTAGTGTCTGCGTGCCCCAGGACAATGCCTAGAACACGGCAAGTACCTCATAAGCTCAAAGGGTGAAGAGGTAAGGACTGGCCACAAGCGCCTCTTCACAGCAGGTCCCCCATAGATATCACGTGGGGTTGTGTGATCTGGGAGTCCTGTTGGGGGGAGGGCAGGGGTCAGCAGTAGCAGCAGAAGGGACCCCTGAGTATCTGGCCTAAACTTGAAGGCCATCGGGATCTGCCAGGCCCAGCAAATCCTCCGCCAGACTGGTGAGCTCATTCTCCTCCAACGCCTCCACCAGACGTTGCAGGGTGGCGCGGCGGCCTTCAGCTTGCACAAAGCGCCGCAGCAGCTGGAAGGCCTGCTCGTAAAGCCCGTCGCGTTCATACTCATAGGCCAGGGCGTCCAGCACTGGATCCCGTAGCGCCCGACAGCCACGCTGCAGCGAGCGCCCTACCTTGCGCCATTTGAGGCCCACTAAGCGGGCGAATGTCTGTTGGTCCTGTAGACTCAGTGGTCGGTTCACTGAAGGAGAAATGGGGAGGAAGGCTGAGCAGGGGGAACTCCAGAGCTGGCCCCCTCCCCATCCCCTGTACTACCAGACCCAGACTTGATCCTCCCAAACTCCAGCCTCCTGATGACCACGCGCCTCACCTATGGGCTGACCCTGGAACAGAAAAGTTTGGCCTGGTAGCGGTGGCTTCTCCTCGGATTGGGCGGGGGCCTGGGACTGCAAGGGGGCCCGAGCGACCTTCATATCGCCACCTTGGCCCTCGGGTCCACATGTCAGATTTCCGAGCGCCTCCTCCAGCTCAGCAAGCTCCTCGTCCCGCAGCCGATCGGGCTAGGGAGGAGTGCGGCGTCGGTAGGGGTCTGGTTCGCGGATCCCCGCCCCGCCCCGCCCGTGCCCAGCCCGGCCGCACCTTCTGAGAAAAGATGCAATTCAAGCACCGCTCCTTGTCTGGCAGCCAAGAGTCCAGCAGCTCAGCGCCAGCACGCAGCTCCAGTAGAAGCCGCACAGAGTTCAGGGCGAGCGCAGCCGCCAAGCTTCTCTGTAGCGCGGTGCACAGCGCCCCCTCGTGGTAGGCCCTCAGGAAGCGGTCGCATGGCTGGCGTCCGCAGAAACGCAAATGCACAATCAGCTGCGGGTCACTGCGGTGGATCTTGAGCATCTGCAGTTGGTCTGGGGTCCCGCAGCTTTCTGTGGAAGTGAGCAATCAGGCCCCAGGCGGTCCCTAAGCGGGGGTGGCTCTGGATGGTCGAGGAAGGGTGAAGCAACCGATCAAACCTCTATCCCCATCGCCAGACCTGGCCCCAGAGCACCCAACTGGGAAGCGAAATTGGGATGCAAATAGCAACAACCCAGAATAAAGGTCAGACCTACCCCAAGAGGCAAGCCCCAGATAAGAGCAGGCAAATGGGATATGGGGAAAGACTGCTGCACGGGGGCGTGTGCCCTGGGCAGACGAGACGAAGGGGCCGGAGAGGGGCGGGTCTCAGGTTCAAGTGCGGCTCCCGCACTAACCGGGAGGAGAGGGACTTCCGCAGCTCTAAGGCCTGAGGCCAGATCCCCGCTCCCCCGGATGGCTTCAGTTTCCTGAGACCTCTGCCCTGAAGTGGAAAAGCAGGATCCGGAAGGGTAGGGACTGGGGAGGGATCTTGAGCAAGAGATGCTGCAGTGAGAGAGGAAAAGAAAGAAAGATTAGTAGACAGGAGTGAGCAGGCTGGCCGTGAAGAAAGGGGTAGAGTAAGTAGAGCAGGGGATGTTAACGTACAAATAGGCAGATCGTCCAGAAACACATGTCATAGGCAGAGAAGACAAGAGCTTACGCAGCCTGAGGTCTCCTTGCCATTAAACCTTTTTCCTAACGCCGAGTCTTAACCCCACAGAGTCGAGGAGGTGGGGTCTCAGTCCTTGGCCCCACCCACAAACGGCCACAGTGGACGTTTCCCTCTCCACCCACCCGCCCACTCAGCCACGCACCTTCCAACGCAGTCCTCAGGGCGCTGTATACTGCCACCTTCTTCTGGGGCTGAGAATAGGCATCAGACAGGACCACTTTGTCCACTGAAGACTCCACAAACAGGTATGCACTGCCTATCCACTCCTCACATTCATTTGGCGCAGCTGCCATCCCAGCTCCTGGATACGCAGACAGTGAAGTATCCCAGTCACCTCCAGACCTGAAAACAGCTCTGTCATGTCCCAGATGGCTCCTCCATGCAGCCCCACACAGCTGGGACCCTTAGGATGAGGGTTTCACCACCTCACAGGCAGCTCCTTGTGTCACTGGTTTGCACAGAGTCCAGATGAGCCCTGCCTTGCAGTGAGAACTGTCCCTTCACTGCCCAGGGTCAGAGTGGCAGGTGAGCAGAGGCATGATCCTACAGTGGAGACAGGAAAAATTCTACCCCTCGCCCCCACCCCAGGCCAAAGCCTAAACTTTAAGAAACATCATGCTGGACAGCGGCCATGCCCCATAGCCAATATTTTGGCCTTGGCCTCAGTTTAAACTTGAGTCTCCAAGAAGCTCTATCGTCTGCACTCCTACTACACCTGTTCTGCCTGCTGGCTTCACAAGCAAGGATGCCTGGAGTTTGACCTCGCTTCAGATTCTCTCTCCCAACTCTGACAGAACTATAGGGAATTGCCCCTCTTCCTACCCAACCAAAGTGCCTCTATGCTAACACCATTCTCTGGCTCCAGGTCTGGGCATGTGATCCAGGCTCAGTGGATCAGCATCTTCCATCTACTTTTCTTTAGTGATTAGTTTAGGGCTGAGCATAGGACTCAAGCTGAACCAATTCAAATCAGCCCTGCAACTCTGGCTGAGCCAAAAAGAAAGAAGCAGTAAATTCCCTTCTTCTCCGGCAGAACTGGTGGGAGGGGGCAGAAGCCCTTTGCCAGTGCTTGAGGAGAGCCTGGCTAAGATGAAGCCCACACAGAGGGGTGCACAGCTAAGATATGGAGAAGTATTCTAGTAACTATGCCCCTGGATCTAGCTATCCCTAAAGCCACTGAACCCTAGACCTTCAGTTACATTGTGTTGGTTTAATCATTCCTTTTTGTTCTAAAGTCATTGGAGCTGGAATCTGGTCATCCACAACTAAAACAGTTCTTCCATGATTTTCTTCCTTGACCAGCCAGGGCAGGGCCCCTTAGCATTAGTATCTATTCCTGCCATCTTCTGACAAAAAACCTAGGGGATGGTCAGTGGCAGTCAAAGGCAGTCACTGCCCCAGGAGACAACAGGTAAGGAATTGCCCTACCTCTTCCTCCCACCCCACCTGAGGCCCGATGCTACGCTTTTCCTGGAAACATGGGTTTCAGATCTCACCTCCTACTCATTAATCATACTCCCTTACGTCTCAGTCTTCAGCATTTACATATGGTGGCCTAAGAGGGGTTCTGAGATGCAGTTGTGGGCAACATGGACATCACTGCTCTGGGCAGGACAGATGGGTGACCCTAGCAAGCATCCTTTGCATGAGTAACAGAGAGCCTCAGGCTTGGACATGGTTGGGGATAGGGTAGAGATCCTGAACTGAGACCTTGGGCTGCAGAATGGATCTGTTCCTGAACCCTAACCTGAGAACAGTAACCAGACACTTTTCAGCATCACCCAGACACCAGGTGATGGTCCTACCTTGGATTTGAGCACAGGAGACAAGCCTCCTTAAAGCCCCCCCCTTTTAAAAAGCACATTAGTACTTTTGTATTTACCCAAAACAATTATTGTTGTTAAGTGCCATCAAGTGGGTTCTGACTCATAGCGACCCTGCATGGGGTTTCTGAGGAGCGGCTGATGAGTTTGAACCGCCGACCTTGAGGTTCAAGCCGACCTTGTGGTCGGGTACTTATCCTACAGCGCCACACCAAACAATAGTCTGGAAATTATTAGGAAGTGATAATTTGAGGTGAAATTGATTTTCTTTGTATTTACCAAATTTGTCTACTTTATGTAAAATAGTGACATTTCGTTCGTGTTAAAAAAAAGAGGAGAGACAAGTGGAGAGCCCTGGGGGGGTGGTTCTGAGTGCCTCGAGTGGCAGAGAAAGAGTGGACAGCTACCCTTGAAACCGTTCCTCTTCCACGTCTCCCTAACTTCCAGCCTCTGGAGGGCTGACGGGATGGATGTGGTCCCGCCCCAAAAGGGAGAAGTAGGGGCGGGGCCAGGCCAGAGTCTGCCCAGCAGACAAGCCTTGCTTAGAGGCACTAGAGACTTGGAGGGGGCGGGCTGCGCTTTACACTCAATAAGACTAGACAGATGGGAAGTCAACAGGGCTGGAGGTTGAGAGGGACATTTAGCAGGGGAGAGGAGAGGCCGGAGGCCCTCGACTCCCATTTTCTACTTGACAACTCGTTCCCAAGTGCACTGCTACAGAAATCAGGCCTGGAAATCCCGGAGTCCCACCCATCCGGAGTCCACCACTCTTCAGGCCCAACGGAGGCTCCCGGGCTAAGTCTGGGAACTGAGTAGAGGTTGTGTGGCTTAACTAGGGCACCGACCCAAGAAAATCTATCCCGAGTTCCAGAGGCCATTTCGGCGTGGCTCCCCATCTCCAGCAGGGTGGGCAGGGAGAGCCTGTGGGCATGGCCCCTCTTGATCCCTCCCACTTTCCCCGCGCGCCCCTTTCTCAGTTGCGTCGCTCCGAACCTCTCAATGGGAGCTTTCCAGACTTCCACTAGCCGCCTAGTCCCATGCTTGGGGTTCGCACGTGCGACTGGCTGGGTCCGGCAGGAGTCTCGGCTCACACATCGGGTTAGAACCACCCCGCCCTGTCCTCTCGCCCGCAGAGCCCTGCCGCCTCTAGAAAGCCCTAGTCGGGCAAGAAACCTTCGGAGGGCAGGATCCATAGCCCCCTTCGTCTCCCATAAAAACAGCCCAATAGGCGACCATCACCAGGCCGCGGCGGCCGGGGTGACAGTGACAGCCGCGCCGCGCTGACGCATCAGGAGCGGAATTCAGTCTCCGCTCCCACCCACCGACATTAGAGAGCCCACCCACCCTCCGCACTAACCTGGCCGCCTCAACCCGGCCTAGGTTCCCACGCCCGCCCGGCTCCGCTCGACCAGCGCCGCTTCCGGGTGTGCGCGGAGCCTCAGGGGCGTTGCCCCAGCCGGAGCCGCCCAGTCCAACCAAACGTCCACCCCCATCCCCCGTTCCAGGAGGCTTCAGTCCACCCAGCTGTCCTTCGCAGCTATTCCCCTGTCTCCGAACATAGCCCACTTGGTGGGTTTACAGGTAAGACACCAATGCTCGAGGTTAGACGGCAGAGAGCAGAAAGGGACTTCTAGAGTTAGCTGTTCTTAAGAGGCGCCTCCGGAGAGCGCTACTAGGTGAGAGCTGACCCACCTCATTGGACTGAGGAATTGGGACGGATCCATAAGGAAGCATCCCCTGGGGACCAAAATTCTGTGGTGTTCCCTGGGGGTCGGGCTCGTTGATACTGACATTTTACTCCCTATAACTCAGAACGGGTTCCAGGTATAAGCCTGGCCCAAGATATCTGGAACTCCTACAAGTGACCCAATTTCCAGCAGGAGTCTGAACCTGGAAGATAATGAAACTAGAAACTTAACTGGCAAGTGATGTCAAACGTTGTGGATGCAAATTTAGCTGTTGTAAGGTGCCGTGGAGTCGGTTCCGACTGATAGCGACCCTGCTTACGTGTATAACAGAACAAAACGCTCTTCAAATTTACAGGAACTTCAAAATAAAATTGGCACTTTCTTCTCATTTCCCTTCCCTAAGAACAGCGCTCCGGTTTGGGAGGGTGTGCGAATATTTAGCCGGGCCTAACCAAGGCTGCTCTGGGGTCAGTGTTCAAACTTCAACCCAGGACTTGTCAGAACAACCGTCAAGTTCCAGAGCCTCTCTGTTTTTTCTCAGCCTTGCCAACCTTACGTAGACAGTACTTGGGACACCGCGCGAGACTGAAAAGTAAAGGCGCCTCCCCTCTCCGGGAGGATCCAGCTGTGCCCTGCAGGCGCCCCCGCTTCTTGATTGGCTCTTGGGCCCTGCCTATTAAAAGCCTTATTTTTAAAGCTCCCGTCCTGTTAACCCTGTATTCGCTGGAGATTGGACGCAGGAAGGATGGTGTTTTAAAACTAGCGACCAGTGGCACCGGGCTCTTGTAGAAATGAAAATTCCTGGGCCCCATCCTTTGTGGGGACTCCTAGTGTGGCGCTGTAGCATCAGTACTGGACTGCGACCCACAAGGTCGACAGTTCAAACTCACCAGCTGCTCCGCGGAAATCCTATACCGGGTCACTATGAGTCGGAATCGACTTGACTATACTTAACAAAGACGACAATCCCTTTCTGGAGAGCCTGGTTCTGTAGGTGAGGCCGTGAAATCTGTATTGTTAACAAGTATCTAGTGCTTCTACTCAGCTAATGGCCCTCTGGGTGGGCCTTGGAAACGATACCATCCTGGTCCTCAGGATCGTTTTTTTTTTGGGGGGTGGGGGAGAAATCAAATCTGTGACTCCCGCTAGATTAGTCTGAGCCTTGGGTCGGGTAGGTTCTAAATGTGTGTGTGTGAAGGCCTGCGCAGGTGAACTAGGGAGAGGGACAGTCCTCTGGAGCCAGAGCCTATGTCAGCTGCCATCCAACGTTTCCTAGGGAAGGTGTTTTTCTCCCAAGAAAGATCTGATAGCATTTACCAGAGTTGGGGATGTTGGCTTCATCAACTCTGCTCATAGGCTTTGTGTTCCTTCTAATCAAGTTTAAAGTGTGAAAATCCACAAGTGAGAAAGTAGTTTAAAGAACCAGGAACACTTTGGTGTTTGGTGGTGCAAATCATTTAAAAAATTGGCAGTTCCATGCACTCATAAAAAGGCCTAGAGATCTACTTATGAAAAATCAGTCATTGAAAATCCTCTATGGAGTTCCACGCATTAGTCAGCAATGACTCCTGGGGAAACAAGCTAGAAACCCACGGCATCCAAGACCAAATCCATGGTCCTGAGACCTACACTTGGTTTAAAACCAAACCCACTACCGTCTAGATAATTCTGACTCATAATGATCCTATGTAGGGTTTCTGAGACTATAAATCTTTACTGAGAGCAGAAAGCCTTCTTTCTCTTGGGAACAGCTAGCCCACTAGACCCCCAGAGTTCTTATATTACACTTGGTTTGTTGTTAAGTAACCTAGTCTTTAGGACTCATGGTGGTGGTGGTTATGTAGTGGAGTTGGTTCTGACCTATAGTGACCTTGTATAGGGTTTTCGAGACTGTAAATCTTTATGGGAGCAGAAAGCCTCCTCTTTCTCTCGCGGAACAGCTGGTAGTTTGGAACTGCTGACCTTGAGGTTAACAGCCCGATTTGTAACCACTATGCTACCAGAGCTCTTTATGACTCTTAGAGACCCTGTATAGGGTTTCCTGGAACAGTTGGTGGGTTTGACATTGCATTTGGTTTAGGGTTGTTGTTATGTGCCATGGAGTCGGTTCCAACTCATAGCAACCCTGTACAGGGTTTCCGAGGCTGTAAATCTTTAAGGGAGCAGAAAGCCTCATCTTTCTCCTGTGGAACAGCGGAGGGTAGGGTCATTTAATCAAGTACTACACTTGGTTTAGTACTTGTTTAAATGTTATTTGATTAAATGCTACTTTCACTTTGCACTAGATTCTGCAATTATGTAGCAGCTCTCCAGCAACTAGCATTTCTACACTCAGGCTCAAGTGTTCTGCTCAACATGTTAGTTAGTCTTCCTTAGCCCAGGGACAAACCACTGTCTCCATCAGGACCTTTCCTCACCCCACAGCTTCATTATGGCTGAACCCAGAGGGCATTTGCCTGAGGAGGTGCTAGCGCTCATCTTCCGCCATCTGCCCTTGCGAGACCGAGCCGCTGCAGCCAGAGTCTGCCGGACCTGGGCCGCCGCTGCCACCTGCAGCACTGTGTGGCATGACACAAAAGTCAGGTGAGTCAGTCGGGTGTTTGAGGAGAATTATCCCTGGAGATTCAGTGACTCCGTATTAAAAGGCAAAACAATTACTAACATTTATTACTAAGTAACAGCCACGAGTCTAATTGCTTTACATAAATTAATTCAGTTAATCTTCGTGAAAACCTTACGTGGTTGTTGTTGTCGTCCAGTCGGTTACGACTCGCAGTAAGCCTATATAGAGTTTTCTAGGAGCAGCTGGTGGATTTGAAACTCCAACCTTGCAGTTCAAACCAACCTTGATGTCTAGTGCATTATCATCCTTCAGTGCCACATCGGTAGATGCTATTATCTTCACTTTTCAAATAGGAAGCTGAGTCCAAAAGTTTTAATAACTTCCTGAAAGTCACTCAGAGAGTGATCGAGAAGGGTTTGAATCTGGTTCGCCTTCCTAGAAACCCCTAAGAAGGCCCCATTCTCCACCAGTATTTCTGCCCGTGGCAAATACAATTTAAGTTTTCCAAAGGGTGGGGTGGGGTTAATTTATGTAAACCGGAAAGGTCCGGCTTGAAGGTATGTGAATTGGAGGCAGGATGTAAAAATGGTAGTTGGAACCCAGGAGGAGGAAGCGAAGCGGGTAGGGGCTTCCCCCTGGTCTCAGGAACACTGTCGATGCCTTTTTTGTATCACTCTGACCCAAGTTGCGACTGTGAGTGGGAAGGCATGCTACCACCTTATCTGTCCGCCTGCCTGGACCACATCCACAATCTGCATCTGGAATTTGAGCCATCAAAGAAGCAGAGCCGCCTGGTGGCCACGAAGCTGCTGAAAGCACTGGCGGGCCGTGCCCAGGGGTTGCGAGGCCTGTGCTTGGAGTGCCTAGGAGAGAAGCCTCTCTTCGACTCGGGCAGCGACATCTTGGACTCGGTGCACAGGGTTTGCCGGGCTGCACCTGTGCTTCACCATCTGGACCTTCGGCACTTGCCATTCACCCTGGACGACACACTGGTGCTGCAGGTGGCACGTGGCTGCCCCGAGCTCCGCAGCCTCTTTTTGGATAACTACACTCTTGTGGGTAGCGTGGGACCTAATTCCGTGCTCCAACTGCTGGCAGCCTGTCCGAACCTACGTGTCCTTGGCCTGCACCTCGCCAGCCTGTCGCGCGCCGCCCTTGAAGCGCTGGCTGCACCAGACCGCGCGCCTTTCTCGCTCTTGGCCCTGCGGTGCGCGTGTCCCCAAGATGCGCGAGCGCCCGCCCTACCCGACGAGGCCTGGGCTGCACTGCACCGCTGCCACCCGGGGATGGTCGTAGAGCTGGAGTTAGAACCTGCACTGTCTGCCGACACTGTGAGGCACGTCCTTCAGCCTTCGGTGCCCGTGGCTATCCTGCGCCTTAACCTCTCGGGCGACACCATAGGTCCAGTGCGCTTCGCAGCCTACCACTACGCTGGAAACTTGCGCGTGATCGAAGTGCGTGCTGCTGCATCAGCGGAACTGGACGCAGCCCTGGAGAACCTGGCTGAGTGCTGCACCGACCTACGAGAGGTGCACTGCTTCTGCGTAGTACGGCCCACGGTTCTAAGCGCCTTCCGCGCGCACTGCCCGCGCCTGCGCAGCTATACACTCAAACTAACGCGCGAGCCGTATCCCTGGCGACCCACGTTGGTGGCGCGATGAAGCAATGCCCACCTCCCTGCCGAAGGCTTCTGGGACCGGAGCTGGGATGCTCAGGAACACCCCAATAGCTAGTCCCTGCCCTCGGGGTTCTGTTGCATCCTGTGCCTCTGGGGAATTGGGGCCTGTGAGAGGGATAGCGTCACGACCAATCCCCGACATCTGGAGCACACTCCGAGCTCTCAACCGCTACAGGCGCCCAGCTGTGTCCGGACGTCCTGGGGTTACCCTCCCCCAGCCCCACCTCTGCCTACACTGCGCTAGCTCTGCAGTATAGTCTTTGGGGAAGGGAGGGCGAGGGCTGCGACTCAGGGGTGAGTGTGCAATAAATTTCTGCAGCATCTGAGTCCTGTGAAAGGCGAGATCGGCTCTGTATGGGAAGGGTGGGGAAGGCACAGAGGCCGGGGTGGAGTGGGGATGGGGGAGGTATCCCAGTAGGGGTAAGAGAGATCCAGACCCCTAAGTCCTCTGTGAGGATCAGGAGCAAGACGAGACACTCGCAGCCTTGGAGTAACAACGCCTTCAGGATTCGGTGGAAGGAAGCCAGTTCCCCTTCTTTATATTCAACCAGCCCCCACCCCACCCCCCGCCCGTCCTATGGGGCTTCACCGTGGGCTTCTAGGACTCTCCCAGTCCACACAAGGCTGGGTACAGGCGATTTCTCAAGCAGGCCTTGAAGGATGGCGACTCGAACACAGATTTCCAACTACACACATAAGATTCCAGCTTTTCCTTTTTGTCTGCTGCTGCTGGAGCCACGGTCAGAACCACGTCTAGTGAGTTCACACGTGGCTCCTGCCTGACCCGGCTCCAGGAGGTGGAGTAGGGTGGGGCAGGTGTCTAAAGCCGCACTTTCTGGCGGCGCTGAACTCCGCGAGAAATGCACTACGCAGGAAGCGCCAGCCCCACTCACTTCCTTCGGAGCTGGGCCCCGGCCCCGTGCCCGCCTTCCTCGGGAAGCTGTGGACTCTGGTGGGCGACCCGGGCACCTACCACCTGATCCGCTGGAGCCCGGTGAGGGCTGGGGTCCTTCCATCTCAGGGAACACCCATGCCCACCGATCCCCCTTCTCGAACCGGACTGTGGGTCTCGGGCACTTATTTCATCTTGGAGGAAGTGTGCACAACGGGGTCGGGGCGGGGGTGGAGACGGCTTCCTCCCCGGCCAAGATTGGGGTAAGAGCCTCTTGGGAACCTAGAGCCCAAGGGACACTTGAAGTCATTTTATTCCTCTGAATTTGACAAATGAGGGGGAAAAGGCCAGGAGATGGACAGGCTGGCTCTGACTCTATTTAGGCTGTAATCTGGGGCTAGTCTCTGCTTCAAAACAGAATTCTTTCAGAACTGAGGGTGGAATCTGGGTCGGTTTGGGAATAGGGACCCAGGCTGGGCCACACATTTGGTTCTCACCTGGCCCCGTTCTCATGTCCCCGTGAGCCTCAGGTTAGGTCCCCAGAGTGAGTCAATGTGTGAGCATCTGAGAGCGGGCCAGGCCAAAGCGGGCACCGCTCACTATGTCTGCTTTCCCCGAGCGCGATGGGTGGGCGATGTTCTCCTAAATTTCCTCCTAAGCGGTCAGAAACACTTCGCCAAGGAGATGCTGCCCCAGTACTTCAGGCACAGCAACGTGGCCAACTTTGTGCGGCAACTCAACATGTGTGAGTCCCTGGGTCAGGCGGGGAGCAGATATGGGTGACTTGGTGCCCTGGGATGGATAAGACGCCTCATGCCCTCATGCCCTAGTCACTTCCCAGATGGGTTTAGAAAAGTGGTGAGCTTGGAGTAGGGAGGCCTGCTCAGACCAGAGTGCGACTACGTCGTATTCCAGCACCCCAGCTTCGTGCTCGGTCACCCAGCAGCTGCTGGAGCGTTCAGAGCAAGGTAGGCGCAGCCCGCAAGAACCCGTGAAGATTTAAGGACCGCAAGCTCTGCCCTACGCGACGCTGCCTAGACCATGCCTTTCGCCCACAGGTGCCCGCGCTGCGCTGCGACGATGGCCGCTGGCGGCCTGAGGACCTCGGGCGACTGCTGGACAAAGTACAGACACTGCGTGAAGCATAGGAGAGTGCCGAAGAGCGGCTGCTGCGGGAGCTCAGACAGTGCGCGGGACTGGGGCGGGCGGGTTGAGGTCTTGGAGGAAGAGTGCAGTCTTCCGGGCGCCTCTGGGTAGTTGCTTCCTCACTCAGCGCGAATGGGCCAAACTGTGGGCCTCTGTGGCCTCTGAGATGATTGGCCATCCAGGTGGTCGTGGATTCCGAGTCTTACCATTCTCTGGGAGTGGGAGTGGGAGTGGGCGAGGTCTCTGGGGCCTCAGCACCCTCCTACCCGCTCCCGCAGGCAGAAGGAGATCTTGTGTAGGGAGGTAATGACGACCCTGCAGCACCGGGTCATTGGCGAGCTGTTCCTCAACTCCTTCTCTCTCCTACTCACACTCCTTTCCCCCCACTCCCACCCACCCCCACCCCCGTCCCACGCTCAAACCCCAACTCCAGTTAAGCCCCCTCCTCCTCGAGCCCACCTTGAATTGCCTTTGCTTCCTCTTCAGCTAATCCAGTGCCTCTTCGGGCCACTTCCAACGGGGACTACCAGCACATGAGCCAAGAGAAAACTGTGAGAAAGCCAGGGACTCCCATTCCCCTGCTTCCAGGACCCTCCAGGGGCCCACGCAGCGACCCCTTCTCCAGGAATCTTCATTCCTTCCCCTCCCTGCAGGGCCTTTATCCTATCATCACCCCCTCTCCATACCCCAGGCCTTCCTCTTCCCCCACATGTTGTCCTCCCTCCCTCTCCACTCCCATAGGGTCCCCTTCTCTGTTGGGGAGCCCTTCGGCCTCCAGCATGTGACTGTCCTGGCTACAGTTCTGCTGACTTGACTGCTTGGGCCTGAGGGAGGGAGGTGGAGATCTTGGGGCCTGGGGCTGAGTCTACCCTGCCTCTACTCATGCCCAGGCCACTGTGTCAGGTCCCTGATGCTGGATGAGAGGAGCACATGCCCACCACCTGCCAAATTCAGCTGTGCCCTACCTTGTCCCCTCCTGCAGGACCCCTACTTTATTCAGCCAGGAAGTATTTGCTTCTCCTCTTCCCCAAGGATAAGCTGGGCTTTTTCTTCTCATTCCCCTAAAAGAAGAGAAGTTGGAGGCCAGTACCCACTTCCAAACCCATGCACTGAGCTTTTCTGCCTCTCAGACCTCTTCCCTCAGACCTGGTCCAAGTGCGTGCTGTGGGGTTCGGGCACTCCCTGTACTTTGAGGTCAAGGACTGAGTATGGTTTCTATTTGGCAGCCCATTCCCGGACCCCACCTTCAGCCTCAGCAGTTACCATGGAGCCAGGGGACCCATCATCTCTGACATGCCTGATGATCCTCTAACCCCAGAAGAGACCAGATTTTCTCCTTCCTGTGGTGATGGGAGGTAAGGGGGCAGGGTGCCCCTTTGGGGAGCCTGTGGAGGAGGGGGTGACTGTGAAGGTGCTGCAGGGAGAGGGTATTGCCAGGGTTTGGTTGAAGCTTTTCTCTGGTGCAGGAAGAAGGGTCTGGCACTCCTCAAAGAACAGCAGGTTAGCCCAGTGGGCTGACCCAGGCCCCAAAGGAATGTGACTTCTGCGTGACAGCCTCCCCACTGCTACCTATGGCTGTGGTCCTGGCCATCTTGGAAGGGAAAGGAAGCTTCCGCTCTGAGGGGCCCAGGAATGCCCAACAACCTGAACCAAGGGGTCCTAGGGAGGTCCCTGCCAGGTGAGCAGAACCCATGGTAACTGTTAGCCCCGTGGGTGACTTACCATCATTTACCAGGTGACCAAACTTCCCAACACTCTCTGTAACTGTGCTGAGGGAAAGTTGGGCACTTGATCGATGATCCTGCTCTGGCTTTTCAGAGTTCCCTGGAAAATGGGAAACTTATGATACAGAATTTCTGACTTTTAGTCAGGTCATCCATCATCTTTGTGGCTGAAATCAGGCATCTGCATCTTAAACAAGCTCACTGAGGTGACTGACATGGTTTAAGAACCACTTGCAGCATAGTGAGGGGACATTCCCTAAGACTCCAGCCCTATGACCCAAGCCATTCTTTTGTGCCCCTTGTGGCAGGGGGGCTCCTCTCCTGGTATTTTTCTAGAGTAGGAGAACCTAATGGGGGTGGGGGGGACACTGAAGGCCAACAGCAGTTATCTGTGTACAGGAAGTCTCTGGGCCTGGAGAGGAGGCACTGGAGATGGACTGTCTCTCATTCTGCTTTATGGCACCCCAGAAAGTCTGGAGCCTGAAGGGCCCCTGAATGTAAGTATCTCTCCAGGTGTAAAGCCCCATAGGATCTAGCTGTCTGTGCAGCCTGGAAGGGTGCCATTGATCCCATGTTGCCTTCAGGTGCTGGGCCCCAGCCTCCTAGGTAGAGAATGGATGCTGATGGATTTGAACATAGAGCTGTCCCTGGTAAGACACTAGTGAGACAGGAACAAGGGCCTGGGGGTTGCTGAACCGAGCCCCAGGGTCCACGGCAGCTGTTCTCTCAACCAAAGTCCAGGCTGAGAACGTTTGCCTAGCTCTCCACCCAGCTCCCTACCCCTACTCCCCATCACCAGCTGTTTACTGGGGCTCTCACACCAAGATGCAGCCCTGGGTTCCAGAGAGAGGGGCAGCTGAACTGTCAGTCAATGAGTTTAACTCATAGGGTTTAGGCAACAATAGGTGTGGTACTGTGGGCTAATGCATCAGACTGCAAAGTCGTTTAAACTGCAAGGTCAGTGGTTCAAGCTCACCAGCTGTTCCTTGGAAACCCTATACAGGGTCACTATGGGTCAGAATACACTTGATGGCACTTCATAACAACAGGCAACAGTAGTGAGGTTGGCCCAGGATTGGGCAGTGTTTCGTTCTGCTGTGCATAAGGTTGCTATGAGTTGGTACTGACTCGATGGCACCTAACAACAACAGGACTCAGGACTGAGGGGAAGGCCAAGATTGCTCTGAGGGATCATAATTGGACAGTTGGGCAAGTTTGTGTTTTGGAGGAAAGTCTGTGTTTTGGAATTCAGGCTGTTCTGCAGAGAACTACCCCAGAAACCCATGGTTCCTCACTGGGCGAGAGTGGGGAGACTAGTGAATAGATGGATGTTTGATTTTTCAGCTGAATGGAGGACAGGGTGGGCGGGGGTTTCTTCCTCAAAGAAAGGACTGGGGTGGCACTCCTTGCTGAGTGCGACCCCACTCCTCCTAGGCAAGGACACCACTCGGGAGGCCGCTCCTGCTGGATATCCCGGCGACTTTGGGAGGCTCAGTACTAGACCTACCCAGGGCTTTGACCAATAACTGCATTCTTGAAAACGGGACCTCCAAACAGTGCTCGGAAGCCTGTCCCTATCCCTGTAAGGCCCCTTCCCCTTTGGAGCCGGCAAGGCAAAGGGGCTTGTCCCAGACGGTACGCCCTTTTCGGCTTCCTGGCGCCCCCTGGCGGAGACTGAATGAAGTCCTTGCTACTCGGCGGCCGCTCTCTATCCCCTCAGCTTCTTCTTGTTAGGTGCCATCAAGTCAGTACCAACTCATAGCGACCTTATGCACAGCAGAAGGAAACACTGCCCAATCCTGGGCCAACCTCACTATCGTTGCCACACTTGAGCCCATTGATGCTGCCACTTTGCCAATCCATCTCGCTTGGGGTCTTCCTCTTTTTCTCCAATCTACCAAACATGGTATCCTTCTCCAGTGACTGGTCCCTTCTGACAATATGTCCTAAGTGTGAGAGACATGAGGCCTCCAAGGAGCAGAGCACTCTGGCTGCACTTCTTCCAACACAGATCTATTGGTTCTTTTGGCAGCCCATGGCACTTTCAATATTC